CATCCTAACCATACCTTTTCCAACCATACCCTAAACTTATCTAAAAGAGATACCTGAGTCTGAACATCACCTTCCATACCCAACCCTAAGCAATTAAAAACCAACCTCATGCAGGTGTATATCATCCCTTAAGGCCAACAGTAGGGAAAGGGGACATTGTTTTCTTAGGATTACTTCCTGCTGAAATGGCATGACAATGACTTCCATGGGATCCTGTAGGGAAAAAAAATTAAGGCAACAAATTTCTCGAGGGGAGTAGCTATAACACTTGTGACAGGAAATGCTTGACTGAAGTTCTATCTGAAACTCTGGCCAGAGTGTAATAAGAAGGTGCACTATTTCAGCTAGCCAGTCTGCAGCTGTTTCCAGCATGACAGTCCCAACTGGTTTCATGGTGATGTTTGTAGTCCAGATGCATCAGGTTGAATCAAGTGGAAATGATGACGTGGGGCCCCATCTTCTTTCCAGAGAGTTCAAAGATTGCTGTTAGGAATTGTTACTGTTCCTTGTGGAAACGTAAACATTAATATCAACACAGAAACTTCAGCTTTTATAGCTATGCATACTGGAAAAGGCAACAGCAAGGATGAAGATAAGTATGAGGGAATTAGGATTTCAAAGAGAGAACCGAATTCAGACAAACGACAGTCCCTAGGTTTTGTTTTCTTCTGTCTCACACCAATTGGCTTCTTGTAAGACAGAAACTCTGAATTTTATTTTAGCAACATGCTTGAATTTAGAGGAGGAAAGCCAAATCCAGCTCCAACGCCAGCATTGGTTTACATGAATTGGGACTAAAAGTGTACTAGAAAGTAAAGAAATAGATTTTTGTACAGAAATAGTTCACCAGAATTAGGTATTGGTACCATATATCAGATTCTTGTTAGTTTGATGGTTCTTTCTGGAGAGCTATCTTTTCTAGGTACTTACATGTTCATTGTCTTTTGGCTATTTGAAGATGGGTGTTTTCTGTTTTCCTGTAAAGACAAGAACAGAACACTTCCCCTACCTTTGAGTGGTCTCCATACAACTCGTGAGAAATACCTTGGTGGATGACCCATCATTTCTCCTCATCAAGAGGTTTCTCTTGTTCAAATAGGATCCTGATCAACTTTGATGGTATCCAAAGCTTTTCTTCTCCTGTAGAAACAAAGGCGAAACTCCTACCCCAACATAACATATGTCTTGGTTTCCATACTGAAGTCAATAGTCTTTGAAGTACACCGGCTGGTTTAGTTCAGGTTTTTCTATTATTCGGTGTCTTTCTGCAGCTGTTTTTCCTTTCCCATTAGCATTAAGAAAGTTTAATGGCTGGGCATTGGTGGCCCACACATTTATTCCCAGCATTTGGGAGGCAGAGGCAGGCAGATCTCTGTGAGTTCAAGGCCAGTCTGGTCTACACAGCTAGTTCCAGTACAGGTTCCAAAAGAAGGAAGGAAGGAAGGAAGGAAGGAAGGAAGGAAGGAAGGAAGGAAGGAAGGAAGGAAAGAAGTTTAATGTTAATACAGCATTATGTAATCTGTGTTTGGGTGTCTTGGCTCCCCCTGCCTATTTATAGAGCATTTCCTTTAAAGTACAATTAGATCTCTAAACTACTGCCTATTTATAGAGCATTTCCTTTAAAGTACAATTAGATCTCTAAACTACTGCTTGTCCTATATGACTGTGTGGTATACCAGTTATGTGCTTTATATTATAATATTTTAAAAACTGTTTCAATTTGCTGGAGACATATGCTGGAGCATTGTCAGTTTTTATTTGTGCAGGAATGCCCATAATGGCCATTACCTCTAATAGGTGTGTGATAACAGAATCAGCCTTTTCAGAGCTCAGAGCAGTGGCCCATTGAAACCCTGAAAATGTATCTATAGTATGATGTACGTATTTTAATTTTCCAAATTCTACAAAGTGAAACACATCCATTTGCCATATTTCATTCCTATGTATACTTTTAGGGTTACAACCTGGTAGTAGAGGGGTTTGGTTATAGAATGAACAAGTAGGACATTTCCGTACCATTTCCTTAGCTTCTTTCCAAGTGACAGAAAAATCCTTTTTTAAACCTTTGCTGTTCACATGGTGTTTTTTATGAAATTCCTAGGCCTCCAGCACAGTTTGTATTAATAACTGATCAATGTCATCATTGCCTCATGCTAGAGGACCTGACAGATCACATGGGATCTGATGTGTGCTATATATATCTAGGATGAGTCCTATTCCTGATTGTTTCTTATAACTGTATAAACAATGAAGTTAATTTTGTATCATCAGGAATAAATTCTGCAGTCTCAATGTGTAAGAAGACTCTCTCTGTATATTGAGAGTCAGTAGCTATATTGAGAGGTTCTGTAAAATCCATACAGAATGGCATACAATTCTGCCTTTTTGTACAGAGTTATAAGGGCTTTGGACCACTTTACTTATATTTCCTGGTTTATATCCTGCCTTACCTGATTTGTTTGCATCAGTGCAGAATGTGGGGACTCCAGAGATTGGTGCTTGCCTTACAATGCGTGGAAGGATTCAAATTATTTTCTTTATGAATTTGATTCTCTCACTTTTGGGATATTTGTTGCTAATATTCCCAAAAAAGTTACTGCAACTCTCTGCCAATATTCATTATTTTTCCATAAGGAGGAAATTTCCTCATTTGTTAAAGGTACTATAATTTCTGCTGGGTCCCTTCCTGTCAATTGATGAAGTCTTAATTTACCTTTTAAAATCAAATCAGAGATCTTTTCAATATATGTCTTTAGTTTTTTATTATGTTTATGTGGTAGAAATATCCATTCTAATGTGATATCTCCCCTCTGAATCAAAATCCCTGAAGGATATTCTCTAGATGGTAATATAACCAGAATACACTCCAGTTTTAGATCCACATGTGCTTCTAGTATCCTCTTTTCTACCCATTCTGATTCCTTTTCAGCTTCAGCTGATAATATTAATGGATTATTTAAGGCCTCGTTGCCTTTTAGGACCATTTCCAAGTTTTTCAAATCATGTCCTTCTACTTCATGATGGTCTATAGTTGAGAAATCTCTCCTAGTAATTTTTGAAGATCATTAAGAGTCTGGTAGCTCCTAATCTGTACTTTTTGTGGTCTAATTTTCTGTAGACCTATTTTATATCCTAAGTAACTGATAGAATCTCCTCTTATCTAAATTGCATGTAAACTGCCTTCCAGGAACAATGTTCTATCTGCCAGCTTGTCATTATCCTCAGACATGGAACAAATTCCATCTGCCAATTTTTCACTCAGATGTTCCAGTCTTTGTATTTTGCTTGTCTAGTCATCAGACACGGAACGAATTGCTTCTGCTAGTATTCTAATGTTATGTTCCATTGTTTCTATTAGTTTATGTTCCATGTTTTGCATTGTTTGTCAAATTTCCACTTTCAATATTCTGGATTTTTTTAATTTCTCATTTGCTTGTAAAATATGTATAGTTTGTACAAATTCCTTATTCTTCGCTCTATTTTCAAACCCTTTCTTTAAGGATATTACATGGATTATGAGACTAATCACCATTATTAAGAGTAGTTATATTCTGGGTAGGTAACAATCCTCTTCTAAAACCCCATCCATATAAGAAACAAAAAGATTTCTAACGTCCTACATTGTGCAATTATCCACCATTGGTGTCGAGTTAATATGCAAAGAATGCAGTACTTACTTTCAGTAGAAACCTGGTGTTCTACTTTGAGTGAGTCTCAACTTGTAGTAACTATGGTTGGCCAGCAGGTGGCGGAGGTGTACAGCCAAACCGTGTACAGCGGCTAGATGCTCTCCGCCTGGTTTCTAATTTGTTAGAATCTGTAAATTCTAAGCAAAACTTTCGGCAAATTCAAATCAAATGAAATTTTGTCAGAAAAGGAGAAAGGCAAGGCTCATGAGAATCGCAGGGATCCATGGAGTCAACAGGCCCCAGGAACTGTGCGAATAGATCAGTCGTGTTAGCACCCACGGAGCGGTGGATCAGACCACTGTCGTGAGCGAAATCAGAGCTCAAACCGCAGGTGCCGAGCGGCCAGCAGCACCGCCAGGGAAGCAGAGCGAGCACGCGCGCCGGCGAGCTGGAGTGCCTGCGAGCTTGCTTGCTAGGCCTCTGCTGGGGAAACTGCAGCTCAGAAGCGCAATGAGCAAATTACGGGGGGGGGGCCGCGGGAGGAGGGGGTGCGGGGGGGGGGGCAGAGAGGCTGGCTGCTAGCGATCACGGACTAGCAGGGGGAGCAGAGGGGAGGGAGCAGCGCTCCTACGGTGCGGACCGTGGGTGAAACCTAATTCCCCAGGTCCCAGGACACAGAGAAATTAGCACTGTAAGGAGTGTGTGTGTATGGGGGGACACTTAACGAGAAAGGTAGGCACAGCTGGACACTGAGACGCCGGCTCTTTCCCATCCTCCTGCAGCCACACGGAGGGCCAGGGACCGCCTGCCGTAGCTTGGTCTGCTTCCCCTCCTAACGCGGCACCTGGAAACCCTGCAGCCTCTACAAGTCGCTGACGAGTGGTTGCTCTGAACTGTCTGGCTCTGCGCACTTCATCGCCGCGCACAGCAGCGCAGAGCACTGGCGGAGGCCTCGGCCTCTAGGAGGCCACCAAAGGAGGGGCAGAAGCCGCGTCGAGTCTGGAGCTCGGGTTCTAGCTCCTTCTGCCACCCCACTGGCGTTTGGCTCTACGTGAGTAGCTTCTTCGGTGTTCGTCTTCGTGGTTCTGAGAGACACGCAAATGATACCAGCTTGCTTTTGAATGGAGTAAGCGCGGCCCTAACACCTCCTAAGTCTCAGAGTTTCGTTCTCGAAGAACTGACGGGGCTCTACAGCCTCGCGCCTGGCACCCTGGCCGAGGGAGCGGAAGATCCACACCTGACCCAGCCCACTATCAGAAACCTCAGACCTCGTCCCCTGCCCGGAAGGCCCGCCCCCACCCGAGGCCCCCCATCCCTGCCGCCGTCGCGGGGAGCGGTGCATTGTGGGGCTTGTAGTGTGGCGGGGTCGGGCGGGTGGGCGCGGCCACGGCACCATCTTCCGCGGCTGGCTGGTCGGCTGGCTTTGCGCGGGCCTCAGCGACCCTCCCTGGCCAGATGGCGCCGCGGCCGCTGGGCCCATTGGTGCTGGCTCTGGGTGGCGCCGCGGCCGTGCTGGGCTCGGTGCTCTTTATCCTCTGGAAAGCTTACTTCGGCCGCGGCCGGGAGCGGCGCTGGGACCGGGGCGAGGCCTGGTGGGGCGCGGAGACCGCCCGCCTCCCTCAGTGGGACGAATGGGAGGTGAGTGTGGAACGGCGCCCGGGGCTGGGCGGCCTAGGCATGCCAGCAGCGCAGGGTGCTCGTGCGAGGGTCTGGATCGCGCCAGACAGTCGTCGGGGCTCGTGAGCCCTGAGGGCGCGGCAGGAGCCAGCCTGGCACCTGCGCAGTGAGCGCAGTGGCACCGCCCCGGGGGATGCCGGGTAGATCCCTCAGGCCAGATGCAGCAGACCCTGAGGTCTTGGGAATGGCTTGGGGTTATAGTCTGAGGAAGCCGGTGGTCTGCGATGGGGAAGACTGTGTCCGAGATCACTGGGAGTCAGACAGAAAAGTGAGGTTTTTTTTCAGTTCAGGACTCCTGCCTGCCCTGGGATGCGTGCATGGGTACCGCCGTGCCTTCGCTGTTCCTAGGGAAGGAAGGGTCGGAAGGGGTGTTAGAGACTGCAGCCTTGAATCTCTGTCCCACAGCCCGAGGACGAGGAAGATGAGCCGGCTTTGGAGGAGCTGGAGCAGCGCGAAGTACTGGTGCTGGGATTGGATGGCTCTGGGAAAAGCACATTCCTGCGCATGCTGTCTGGAAAGCCACCGCTGGAGGGCCATGTCCCCACCTGGGGCTTCAACTCTGTGCGGCTGCCCACCAAGAATTTCGAGGTGGACCTGTTAGAGAGTGAGCAAGGGACCCCTTCTCCCCATCATCTCCGCTGGCCGGGCCTAGATTCTTTGGCGGAGTCTATAAAATGCATACCTAGGCAGGACATTTCCCCTTTGTGAAATCCTTCTTGCTCCTCTCCAGGGCACAAGATAGAGGACATTCTGGCACTTCGGGTTCTTCCTTAAAGTGTCTGCAAATGGGTCTTCCTGCCCTTCACTACACATGCCTCATACTGACAGACTCACAGATGCCTCGTACTGACAGACTCACAGCTGAGGGTTCATATGCCAAGCGCTTGACAGGCATTGCTGATAAAATATCCCAAACAACTCCATAAAATTACAGTCAGTCGGTCTTCTCATGAGACAGCTGTGGAAATGGGTAAATCACGGACAGAGCCAGCTTTCCGCTGTCTACTGCAGAAGGGTCTCGAGGCCTTTATGAGGGCACTTGTCTCTCCTTGGCATGCACTGTTCCCTTTGTTTGGAATGCTAGATATGCTACTGCTACTCATCCTTTAAATGGCTTCTTTTCTTCCATTATTTAGGGGTTTCTTATTTTTGTTGTTGTTGTTGGAATGATTAATAACTACTGTCAACTCATCCATTAGTTGGGGTTTTTGTTGTTTGTTTTGAGATGGTCTCATGACATTGAGGCTGGTCTTGAACACAAACCCTCCTGCTCCACCTTCTGAGTTGGGGTACAGTAACATACATACCACCATGACCAGTCTCAGTTGTAGTTTGTGACTGACATCCTTTGAAGCTGTCCCCTGGCTCCTCCTGACTCTGGTCCCTGTTCTGCTACAGTATTTGTCACATCCCTCTCTGCCCCGATGAGGCTGTGAGTACCTTGGTCACAGGCTGATGGGATCCATTCTTGCCCAAAGGCTCAGACCTTCAGTAGGTATCTGAGAGGGTTTACTGAGTGAGTGATCAGAGACAGGATTGTCCTAGGCTTCTTGGGATTTTGGAAGGGGTGACAATAAGGAGATGGTGGCCTCAGTCTTGAAGAAACAGTGGAAGGCTTCTAGCCCCAGGACTACAACCGTGAGGACTAGATGTGTTTTAAATACTGGGTGAGAGGGTTGAGTTTTGGGAGCCTAGCTCTTGGCCTAAGTGGCCTTCATTCTTCTGTTCATAGGCATTGTGGACTGGCCAGGCCTGGCCATACCTTTTCTCCCTGGTTGAGCAAACACTGATGTTTACTTAGGGTTTTGGATCTCCCATCAAGTTTTCTGTGGCTTTCCTTGTGTGAGAGATGTGAATCCAGCAAGGGTCTGACAGAAACAGTATCCCTCTCCCCCACCCATGTGAGGAGTTTTCATGTGTCTATGTTCTGACGGATAACAATCCAGGCTCAGTGGGGTCTCATCTGGGATCCAAACCCAGATTGCTGTCAGGTATGATGGTCACACCATGGCAGGAAGATTGCCACACGTTTCGGTCCAGCCTGGTCTATATAATGAGGTCTAGTCTCATCTCAAAAAACTCAACGACAAAATATCCCAGATTTCCAGTTAAGTCCTAGAGAGAGCGTCCCTCCCCTCAGCCATCCTTCACATGGTCTCAGCATTCTGGCCTGGGGTCCTACTGAGAATGCTCCCTTCGGGCAGAGGTGATAAGGGGGATGTGATACTGGCGATACTTCCCTTAGCTCGCCTGTGGAAGGCGGTGTACTGGCTCTGTCAGCTGAGCTTGGACAGAGGCTGCCTCCCGCTCCCTCTGTTGCTCCCTGGTTCAAGCCACTTCTGCCTCCCCCATCAGGACTACAATTGCTTCCATATAGATCTTCCTGCTCCTGTCCTGTGTCAGCTGCTATTCCAGACCATTAAGGGCCAGCCCTGTCCCTTCTCTTGCTGTCTGGAGGTGCCCTGCCACATGGCTTTCTTTCGCTCACATACATGGGACTTATTCTTTGCTTTGACCGAATGCTCTCTTTTGCTTCTTCCGTGGCCAGCTCCTCCTCAGCCTCTACTCAGCTCACATCCAGCCCCCTTAAAGAGACATCCGCAGACCACCAGATCCAAGACCAGCCCCAGCCTCTACACATTCCTATGTTCTGATTCCTTGCTTTCTAGAATACGTCTCATCTGATTGCCTGGCACATTCTGGTAAGGGAGGGAGTTCTCAGAGCAGGGTTCCAGGCCACTTGTTTCTGTGTCCCCGGCACCCAGATCAGTGCTTGGCACCTGGTGAGCACTCAGTAAACACTTGATGAGTGCCTGCTCTGTGCCAAGGCATTGTGCTGAGGCTTTGGGGGATTCTGCACAGTGTTTCCAAGGGAAGAGAGAGGGATGACAATGAATGGGGAATGAGTTGAGAATGGCAAGGCAAGGGACTCTGGCTTTTCTAGGCATCGCGACCCCTGACTTCTGATTGTAGTTCTCGCTGACCAGGAAGGAAACTAGAAACTGGTAAGAGACAAAGCAGCCCCAGACAGACAACTGATGACTACCACTCATAGCACACCGTGTGCTGGTAGATGGTGCCTTTGGGGTCTGCTGGAACCTCTTTGCTCAGTAAGAAGAGACTGGCACACAAAGGTAGCTCTTAAGAAAGCTGACTGGCACTGGACCATGGTGCTTTCTTTGTCCCTGGCTAGTGGAACCCTAGGAGCTGGAGGTGGGGGAAGGGGTTGCTGTGGGTTGAGCCAGGCCACAGCGAGCTCTGGGCTCTGACCTGGCCTTCGGCCTCTCTCTCTCTTCAGTTGGCGGCAGCCAGAATCTGCGCTTCTACTGGAAGGAGTTTGTGAATGAGGTAGATGTGCTGGTGTTCATGGTGGACTCATCTGATCGGCTACGGTTGCCCCGGGCTCGGCAGGAGCTACAGAAACTGCTGGACAAGGACCCTGATCTGCCTGTTGTTATAGTGGCCAACAAGCAGGTGAGAATGTGGGCAGCAGCCAGCTGGACTTCTCACTAATACCTGGGGAAGGGGGTGCACAGGACTAGAGCTTGAGCTCCATGTGCAGAGGGCCTGAAATGGCCTCTACCCCTCCCACCCGTCATCTTTCCCACCCTAACTTGCGTCTCTCTTGTTGCCTTCTGTAACCAGGAGCTACTAAGTACTTACTATATGCCAGGTATACTTTTGAATGCTTTGGGTTTTTGGATTTTCGAGACAGAATCTCAAGCACTTAGATATAGGTGCACTATGCAGCCCAGACCGGCCTGGATTCGTGATTGTTCTGCTTGAGTGCTGGGATTGTAGTTGTGCAACACCACGCCTGCAGCCGGGGTGGGGGCAGGGGAGGGTGGGATAATGATCTCCACAGGGACAGGGTGGTGGAGCTGGAATGCCTGCTTCTAGAACCATTCTACCCCTGCACTAAGCTGAGAAGTGACAAGTTGGGTACATTAATAATTGCACAGCATTGGGGCACAGTGTGGACACGTGACAGCCATCACTCCACTGCAGTCTGACTGGTGTGCATGAAAGGCCTGCTGTCTCTAAATGCCTGTAGTTACCAGAGATCTTCCTCAGAGTTAGTGTTGTAGGGCTGGAGTAGAACTCAGGGGTAAGTTGCTTGTTTCGTATGCATGACGCCCTAGGTTCTGAACTCCCAACCCCCACAACTCCCCTGCAAAGAAAGATTGCCATTATACCTTTGCTGGGTCCAGAGGGCTGTCTTGGGCCCAGCAGCCCTCAGGATCAGAGACAGACTTTATGTGTCATCCTCGGCTCCATGAGGACTGCCACAGTCAGAGTACCTTAGGGCTAGTACCAACATTCTCACTTGTCCCTCTGACCTCAGATTTGTACGGCCACCATTTGTCCTGGTCTACCTGGGACAGTTCCATTTATGCCTGTTCTAGTCTAACCTTTTTTTTTTTTTTTTTTTTTTTTTTGAGACGGCCCTGGCTGTCCTGGAGCTCGATATGTAGACCAGGTTGGTCTCAAACCTATGGAGATCCACCTGCCTCTGTCTCCCAAGTGCTGAGATTAAAGGCATGTGCTACCAAGCCCAGCCCTAGTGCCACTGTTAATGGTGTTTTGGAGCCGTAGAAATACTGTTTTCTTTAAAATAAATTTTATAGCATTTCAGTTCCTTTTATGTTTCTATGAAGAGACACTATGATCAAGGTGACTTAAGAGTATGTTGGTGGCTTGCTTAATTTCACTTTTGAAACTCTGAAGACTACTACCACCACACTTCCTCCTACAAAGCCTCCTAATCTATCCAAAACAGTTTCTACTAACCTTGAACCAAGCATTCAAATATATGAGCCTAAGAGAGACGTTTTCATTCAGACCGCCACAGTAGGCAACAAGTGAGGGCTTACCTCATATGAATTGCTTCAAGAATTGTGAGTCATTGATAAAACTTAAAGGTACCATCGCCAGCTACAGTATCTAGCTAGACTGTCTGGAAGTTACCCCACTGTATGACCTTACATAGTAGGTATAAGAAATGGGTACCGGTGATACATACTTTCAGTTCCCGCACTCAGGACACACAGGCAGGCAGATCACTGAGTTCGAGGCCAGCCTGGGCTACAGAGTGAGTTCCAGGACAGCCAGAGCTACACAGAACCTGTCTCAAAAAAAGAGAGAGAGAGAAAGAAGAAATGGAGTAGGGATTCCAAAAGGTTTAAAAGTTTGACCATCAACATGAATTTGGAACCTAGCTCTGCCATTTATCACTGTTACTGGAGCTAAATGACTTCACTGAACCAACTTCCTCATCACTTACATGGGCTGTGAGGATCAGAGACTTGGTAGGCAGATGCCCATCGTAGGAAGGGCAGAAGAGTTGCTTCTTACCACACTGGTGGATGGTTCTGTGAAAAGAGGGTGCCACAAGAGTCAGGATGAAGGTTGACACTCAGTCTATTCCTAAGATGTAGAGGTGCCTGCTGGGATGTAGGGTCCTGCTTTTCCCAGAATACTAGCTGAACATTTATGTGCTTCGAGGATGACATGGGTGGAATCACACTGCTAGCATTGTCTGACAGCCATGCTTGTGTCCCTGCAGGACCTGAGTGGAGCCATGACTATGGTGGAGCTTCAGCAGGAGCTGGGCTTGCTTGCTAGTAACAACCAGAGGGAGGTTTTCCTCTTGGCAGCCAGCATTGCCCCTGCAGGGTCTACCTTCAAGGAACCTGGCACTGTACACATCTGGAAACTGCTCTTGGAGCTTCTGTCCTAAGCTGGAGCCACCTGCTTGCTGCCCAGCCTTGGAGACCACAGTTCTGCTTCCTCCTGCATCTTCATTGCCAGCCTAGGCCTTGGGCAGGAGCACCGTAGCAACACCTCCTTTGTCCCCTCAAGAGCAAGGCCAGAATCACGCAGAAGCGTTCCTGATGAGGCGGACTTGGGGCAGGAGGAGAGATGGTGACTGTTTCACCTTAGGCCATAGTGTAGCTCCAGCTCCCCTTGCCTTCCTATAGTGTGATGCTCAGCTGGCTTAATGCTCCTTCCCCGAGGTGTGGGTATCACAGGTACTCCTGGTGACATCGTGCATCTTCCATGGGGGAACGTTCTGGGTGGAGCACAGTAAATCCTTCCTCCCAGGCCCTCATCATCCTCTAACCCCTGCTTTGTCTGTAGCCTTGTGTTTCTGCCTTTCTGGCCCCAGGGCCATGGTTTTTAAAGGGAGGTGATTTCCTAGTTTTTTCTAAATGCCAGTCCTAGCGATGCCAAATGAGGACCAACCTGAAGTCTTTAGCAAAGAATACTCTGACCACCTCCCTGCCGTTAAGGCCTAGCCTGCCAGCCTTCATTGACCACAAAGTGCAGTTCACCACACAGGGTGAAGGAGGCTTCACCCCAGGTCTGGACAACCTGCTGCTTTTGTATTAACTGTGCCAATGCCCATGTTTACATAAGTCTAGAGAAGGAAGAGACCTGAGTACTGGAACAAGACTGGAGCTGGGGGGAGGGGTATCATTATTTATTTATTTATCAAAAGAATAGGCCAAAGTTCTAGGTTCTGTTTATAGGTGCTGTAATCAAAACCCTAGATTGTCATAGAAAACTTGAAGCTTTGAAAATTGTCTGGAATCATGATGGACACTTAAGTAACCTACGGGTATCATTGGAGACAGAACTATAGCTCCCTCTCCCTTCCCCTGCCCCAGCCTTGAGACCGTAACTGGAGACAAGTACTTCAAGGGAACCCAGGACTTTGGTTCTACTGTATGGCCCAGGATATAGGACAGGACTAGTAGAAGAGCCATCAGTGTGGCTTTGGGTACATCAAGCCCTCTGGGATAATTTATTCGTCAGCAAAACAGAATGAAACTCTGTTCTCTGCAGTGGACATTCCATGACTGGCAATGCAGACTGTCGTCGTCTTGACACTGATGCACGCAAAGAGCCTGTGGTGTGCCTGGACTACTGAAGGAGAGCATCTTTGGACTGGTTTTCTTTAAGGCTTTACTCCTGCCCCCACCCCCTATCTTTTTTTTTTTTTTGAGACAAGCTGTTACTCTAGCCCAGGCAGGCCTTGAATTTATGGAAGCTGTCCTTCCTCGACCTCCCATGTGCTGGGATTACAGGAAGCATTGAGCCATCATGCCTGGCTCTCGGTTTGCATTTTGAGAATAGGCTATTTGCCAATTGCCCAACATACCGCCTGGGAAGTGGAGAGCTTCCAAGCTGAAGTGAGCAGTCATCACAAGAGGGACCCTCTGTGTCCTTGGAATCACCACAAGACAAGTCAGCCTCACTAGAAATGAGTTTTCTGCTTTTGTACTAAATATTTAAGGAATGACTTGGAATTGTTTGGCAACTTCTCATCTTGTCATTAGGAAGTTGAGAAACCCTGTGTCATTGTTCTAAGGATTCCACCTTATTCTCCAGTGCTTAAAACTTACTTGGAACCAGACTTGTTACAGAGAGGGACCCTTTTTTCTGATTTAAAGTCCTTTGTCTAATGAATATCATCCTGTACAATTGTCATAGTCCCCCAGGTGGAGGGATGGATTTCAGAATAAAGAGTTTCACTGTGTCTATTGAAGCAGCTTTATGTGAAGCCAGGCCTAGTGGTCTGTGATCCCAGCTACTTGGGAGAAGGCACAGTTAAGGTCTGCCTTGTTTTCAGAGTGAGTTCAACGCCAGCCTGGACAATTAGGTGAGACCTTGACTCAAAAATAAAAAGCCAGACAGGCCTGTGAGATGCCTTAGCAGGCAACTTGCCATGAAAGCCTAACAATCTGAGTTTGATAGAGTGCTTCCTTAGTATGTACTAGGTTCAAACCCCCAGTACTAGGAAAAAAGCAACAAATCAAATAACCACTTTCTGGGCATTCTTCATTTAATAGTTTGGGAGGAACTGACATTACAAGCCAGTTATGGACTGTCTATGGCATCTACCTGTCATGGGTCCAGACCTCAGATTCAGGCTGAACACACACTTACCTCCCAGCCTTTCTAGTTGCTATGGAGAAGGAGTCTCCAACCTTCCCCCCACTGCTACACCTAAAGATGAACATGAAGGGACCAGGGGTGGAGTTCCTCAATGTGTGGAAAGGGTCTTTCTGTCACCCACCAGCCCAGATACACAGGGCCACAAAGGGCAACTGTGTACACTGGACTGTCAGCAGCTTTCTGAGGCACACGATGCCCAAATGGCTTTGTTAAGTGAACCTTCATCCTGAGGGAAGGTGTGCTTTCTGCTTGTTCCTGTCAGGGCAGCTCTGGAAAGTGAGTTATTTGACAGCAAGTTCTAGTCCCTTACCCCCCTGACCTCTGAGACAATGACCTAAAGCTTTCTACTTGATGGAACCAGAGTGAGGGGGCTAGAAACCAGCTCAGAAGTCTCCTGCCAACTGGGCATAGTGGAGCAGGCCTTTAATGGCAACAGAGGGGAGGCAGAGACAGATGGATCCCTGTGAGTTAGAGGCTAGCCTAGTCTACATAGAGTTTCAAGACAGAGTTCTCCCTCCACACTCAAGGCCAGGAGGCCACACACAGAGAACATTCCGGAAACATGTACCAAGCACATGCCTTGGGCAAGACAATGGAGTCCCAGACAGACCTTGTGAGAAGCCCAGTTTGGCAATGGACATCAGGCAAGATTAAAGGTAACCTGAGTGACAGCACAGCTCAGACAAAGCTTGCAGTGACTTCATGTTCAGCAACTGCAAACCAGGTAACTCTGGCCATAACAGTTAAAAGGGTGCAGGAAGCTTACATGCCCTGTGAGCAAGGAACACCGCGGAGGTGGCTTCTGGAAGATGGCACCCAGACTACATAGAGTTAAGGAGGCCTGCTAGCCAATGACACAAATTTGAATTTTGTAGAGGTCAGAAATGCAAAGTCAGATGACAGGAGCTCCTGTACACTCACTGTTGCAGGCACCAAATGAGATTCTTGGCCCTCGATACTGTGGAAAGGATGAGCTGCTGCCCTCAGAACAGACTCGATGTCACACCCCACCCCCACTTTGGATACCTCTGACCTGTTTCCTTCCCTATAACACAGATAAAAGTGCATCCTAGCCAGGCAGTGGTGGTGCCTTTAATTCCAGCATTCTGGAAGCAGAGACTGGCGGATCTATGAGTTTAAGGCTAGCCTTGTTTACAGAGTGGGTTTTCAGGCTAGCCAGGATTACTGGTTGGAAGAGATAGCTCAGAGGCTAAGAGCACTGGCTAGTCTTCCAGAGGTCCTGAGTTCAATTCCCAGCAACAACCACATGGTGGCTCACAACCAACTGTAATGATATCTGATGCCCTCTTCTGGCACGCAGAGCACTCAAAATATAAATAAAACTTTTAAAAAGAAGCACATGTTAACAAATGTCACAGGCAGTGTTTAAAGACGTGCTTTTCAAGTATGCTGAACACAGACAGACTATAGGTATTCCCAAGAAAAGTTCTTGGCAATTTAAGAAGTTTTTACATGATTCATAGTTGGTGGCAGTTAGATCTTAAAATGCCCACCTCACCCCATGCCCATGATCCTGTTGCAAAATAGGTGTCACCTTCTCAGGCCAAAGCATGCAGCAGAGAATGGCCACGTCATGGAGGGTAGCGGGTGACACAATGGAGCGGTACCTAGTGGTCTGCCAGTCCCGGAGGCAGTTTTAGGTCCCTAGACCAACAAAAGAGAGCAAACAGGACCTGGCTCCTTACCCTTCTGCAGGCAACCTAGGCTTCTGGCAAGTTCCTGGAGGAAACCAAGGCTGAGAGCTCTCAAGAGGAAGAAGGTGGTGCCTACAAATGCCCCTGACTGCAGTAGTTGCTAAGCCTGATGATCCATCTGCCCTAATAAAAGTTTTTCATGGAGCAGAGTTTAGCTGGGCATAGTAAACACAGAACCCTTACACAAGTAGTGGCACATGCCTTTAATCCCAGTCAGTCCTACACAGAGAAACCCTGTCTCAAAACAAGAACCCCGTCACACAGGTAAAATGCTTTTATCACGTACAGATCATATTCAAACAAAGCATCACCTCTGGACACTGAACAGCAAGCGCTGGCTTTTCTGTGAGCCCCAGAGAGCATAAGCCATGGCCTCTAAAGATTTCCTGCTCCTGCTCAGTGTGGGGGTGCACACCTTCCCCTTAATCCCAGCACTCGGAGCAAAGACAGCTGGATCTCTGTGGATTTGAGGCCAAAGCTGAGTTCCAGAACATCTAGGGCTATTAGAGAGATCCTCTTTCTCTCTCTCAAAAAAAAAAGTTCCTCCTCATGGAGAGAGAGAGAGAGAGAAAGAGAGAGAGAGAAAGAGTGTGTGTGTGTGTGTGTGTGTGTGTATAAAACCTTATTCTATAGAACTTTGCCAGCATCATCTGAAATAATATAACCCTTGCCTTAAAACCTGGCTCTGGTTTCTTTAGTCCAGTAGACCTGAGTATGGGGTGCCCACCACTCAGTCAACTTCCATCTTCTTATTCTGCAAAGAATCGATGAAGGTTTGCCACTCTGTTGGGTAAAAGCGTTTATAGACATTGACCTTATTCCGAATCTGTTTTGGAGTATCTTGATAGTAATTCTTCTCATCCCGGGCCATAGCCTACATTAAGAAAGAAAGACAACATGAGGAGGGCCAAATCTAATTCCTAGCTTTGCTGAAAATGAGCATGCTACTTCCTACCCTGGAGGTCCAGATTTCTCCCCTCAAAAGCTACTGAAGGGCTGGAGAACTGGTTCCGTGATTAAGAGCACTGTGCTCTTAGAGGGGACCCAGCATGGCTCACACCATCTATAACTCTGGCCCTAAGGGATCTGATGCCCTCTTCTGACCTCCATACCTGACACACATATGGTGCACATAATACATGCAGGCAAAGCACACATAAAATAATAAAGGGGAAACAAAGAAAGAAGGGAGGCAGAGGCAGGCAGGTATCTGTGAGTTCGAAGCCAGCCTGGTCTGCACTTTGAGTTCCAGACAGCCAGGGCTACATAGATAGACCCTGTCTTCAAAACAAAACAAACAAACAAAAAACCAGCCAGACACACGGAGCCCTTCTTGCACTGAAGGGCTGGGAAAAGGGTGCCCATCCTCCTTAGGAAGGGCCAGGCAAGCCTGAGAAGGCAGTGGCCCTTTAAGGAGCTGGGGCCAGTCAGGGAGTTCGTGCTCCATCATAATCAATTATTTCCATATGCAGAGACCCAGCATAACCAGATCTTTTATTTATTGGAGTTTTTTGAAACAGGGTCTCTCTACTACCCTGGCTATTGCGGCATTCGCCTTTAATCCCACCATTCAGGAAGCAGAGGCAGACAGATGTCTGTGAATTCAAGGCCAGCCTTGTCTACAAGGCAAGTTCCAGAACAACCAAGGCTGTCGCACAGAGAAACCCTGTCTTGAAAAAAACAAACAAACAAACAAAAAAATGTGTGCCAGCAGGCTGGGCAACCCAGATCATTTTAAAATGCCAGGGAAATTCCTAACACTGTGCCTTTGTACGGGAGGCTGGAATTCAATCGGATAAATTTGCAAAATGGAGCAACAGTTAACATTAATAAACAGGGAAATGGCTCAGGAAGGAAAAGCATTTGCTAGAGTATCTTGGTTATGGTTTCTATGACTGCAACAAAACAGCATGACCAAAAGCAATTTGGGGAGGAAAGAGTTCACTTGGCTTATATGTCCTGGAGTCACGGTCCTTGCAAGCAGGAGCTAATGCACAGGACACAGGAGTGCTGCTTACTGACCTGCTCAGCCTGCTTTCTTGTAGAACCCAGGGCCACAGTGGGCTGGGCCCTCCCCGATCTCAATCACTAACAAAATTTGAGCTGGGCATGGTGGCACATTCCTTTAATCCCAGCACTTGGGAGGCTGTGGCAGGCAGATCTCTGTGAGTTCAAGGCCAGCCTGGTCTGTTCCAGGACAGCTAGAGCTACACAGAATAACAAAGAAAGAAAGAAAGAAATGTCCCATCCTGGTGTGGTAGCACATGGCTTTAATCCCAGCACTCAGGAAGCAGAGGCAGGTGGATCTCTGTGAGTTCAAGACCAGCCTGGTCTACAGAACAAGTTTTAGGCCACGACTATACAGATAAACCCTGTCTAAAAGAGACAATAAAACCAATAGAGTAAGAGAGAGATCAAGGAAAAGAGAGAGAAATGGAGAGAGAAAGAATGCCCCATAGGTTGCCTATAGCCTAATTATATGGAGGCATTTTCTCAATTGCAGCTCCCTCTCCAATGACTCTAGTTTTTGTCAAGCTGACGTAACCCTAGTCAGCACAGTATGTAAGCCTGATGTTCTGAATTCACCCCCCAGAACCCATATAAGAGTCAAATGCAGTGGTGTGCATCTGTAATCCCAGAACGCTTAGTGTGATGGGAGGCTGATGGAGGGGAATCCACTACAAGGCCAGCTAACCTGGATTACACAAAGCACAGCAGCAAAAATGGAAACCCTGCCTCCATAATGTGATGTCTTCTGACACACACCCCTCACACCCACACACTTCAAAGACAGCCCAAAGGGCTGGACAGATAGCTCAGCAGTTAGGAGTTCTCATTCACATGGCATCTCATAATTGTTAACTAGTTACAATACCTTTTTTCCCGACCCCTCACCCCCAGGTCCCAGGCATGCACACACATACAGGGAAAGCAGCCATACACTAAGAATCTTTAAACAACGCTTTCCTAGGCGCCTCTTTCACGCTATTCAGTCGAAGGTCCGGCTGAAACAGTGCATTGTACTTTCCCACTAAGTCCAAGCGGTTCCTCCCAGCAGGCCTCACCTTATAGTCCTCCCCATGATTTGCCACCATGTATTGAACATATTCAATGAGGTCCCGAGACAAGGTATTTCCTTTCTTCTCTGGGAGGCTGGCTTCTGCCTCCAGGTCTGGAGTAAAAGAAGCCAGAAATGACGGAAGGCATTATTTGAGCTGCCCAAACACCCCTCCATCCAAACCCATGACACAAGAATTGTACTAACAGCACATTCCCATATTCAAAACCAGAACTCTTTTTCAGGCCCTAGAATCCCAAAGTCTGCCTCCCACCACTACCCATCCATCAATGTGGCAACTCTCTGAAAAGCAATTCTCAAGTTATGGTTTAAAATGAAATATTCTAAGCTTACCAGTCTTAACCAATACCAGGCTCCAGGGCCAAAAGAGGGGAGGCTGGGCTGCCCTCGAGCCCCACTGCCACCTGAAGAACTCTTGGTGTATTTGCAATGGAAAGGCAAGAACTGCTGAACATTAAAGCTACACGGCTAGACCCAGATCCCTCACTGCTCCATATGAAGGGAAAATCGGGACCATGGAACCAATCACTTAGGAGGCTAAAACAAAACAATCTCAAGTTCATGGCCAGCCTTGGCTACAATAACCAGACTCTTGGTCTCAAGTTCATGTCTAACCTCAGCTGTATAACAAGACTCTGTCCAAGCAAACAAAACCCACAAGTAAAAGTCAGACATACTGTCTGCAGACAGTAGCAAAGCATGCTTTCCCAGCAACAACAAGACCCTGAATTCAATCTCAGCACAGCTAGGAGAAAAAAAAGCTAGGTAAATGGGGCAAAATATAGACATGATGTAGTCAAATCTGATCTAAGTGTGAGGCACTGAAATTTCTTACAGTCAAAATCGTCTTTGACCTGGGTGTCAAAGGCAGCCTCAGCTTCACAAAAGCAAACTTCAGGAGAACTGGTATATAGCAGTATGAGATATTCAACATGATTGAACTGTACACTTTATTTATTCGTTTGTCTGTTTCTTGGTTTTTCAAGACAGGGTTTCCTGTGTAGTTCTGGCTGTCCTGGAACTCACTCTGTAAACCAGGCTGGCTTCAAACACAGAGATCTGCCTGCCTCTGCCTCCCAAGTGCTGGGATCAAAGGCATGAGCCACCACTGCCTGACCAAACTGTACATTTTTAAAAGGCCAATGTAGGGATTCAGGCATTACGCTGGCCTGCCCGTCACCTGGCAGAATGCACTCAGGCAGTGCTCTGGTCAGCCCAGGGTTCCATGAGAACTAGTCTGCAGGCAGGTGTAAAGGACCCCTTTAAAAGTCAGACCCCAGCTGGGCAGAGGTGGTGCATGCTTTTAATCCCAGCACTTGGGAGGCAGAGGCAGGCAGATCTCTGTGTTTCAAGCCAGCCTGATCTACAAGAGCTAGTTCCAGGACAGCTTCCAAAACCATAGAGAAACCCTGTCTCGAAAAAACAAAAAGTCAGACCCCTGCCCACGTATGTTCTTTTGCGTTCTCTCTCTCTCCTGCTTTCGGTTGCCACCAGGTTACCCCCCCTTCTCCTCCACCCCCCTCCTCTTCTGTTCCGGTGCCTCTATGTCTCTTCCCTTCTCCCTCACTCCCCTTTCTCAATAAACTCCTCATTTAAGCTCTGCCTGGCGTGTTGTTCCCTCCGCCTTACCACCTCGGTCACCCTCACCTGCTATGGAACCTGCTATGCTCTCCCACGTGGTTCCTTACCTTGGGACTCCACTCACTTGGGACCCTCACTCGGGACCACCCCTCCCCCTTCTCCAGCTTTTAGTCTTATAACTGTATCAAAGGAACAACAGCCAAGGAGGTGAATTTTATGTAATTTTTTAGCTACAATTTAAAACTTAAAAAAAAATAATAATAATTCTTACCAGACATGGTGGCATATGCCTTTAATTCCAGAACTTAGAAAATAGAGGCAGGTGGATCTCTGTGAGTTCAAGGCCAGCCTGGTCTACAAGAGATAATTCCAGGACAGCCTGCAAAGCCAGAGAAACCCTGTCTCGAAAAAACCAAAACCAAAACAAACAAACAAACAAAAAAAAAAAGGATTTCAGAATATTCTTTTTTTCTGCAGGGTCAAACACAGGGAACAGATTTTAGTCACTGGAGAGATTAATGACAGCAGAATTGCTACAAACCAGACCATCTTTAAATTCATGAGAAACTGGGAACAAACCTGAAATTTAATGCTTTCTTCTTCATCCTTGCAGACACACCTGATTTTATCTTCTGTGAATGTCTCTGCCTTACCTTGGTTCATACATTTAAATGTCATTAATTTTAGCTGGAAAATGTCTCAGCTATGACACGGTACTATTTCTGAGTCCTGGACCAGATTGCTTCTCCTCACTGAATCTTGGTCTCTCTCCTTGTATTGAAGAGACTGAATGCCCTTTTCTGATTTGTCAGGGCAGTCTAGTAGCCTAGAACACAGTTCACACTCACCATTCAGCACATAGGGCTTCCGCACAAGGTCCTTGGGTCTCTCCACCATGTCTACCTCCATGGCCTTTACCTGTACAGAACAAAGCCTATGAGACCAGTAGACAAGCACCTTTGATCAGAGAGGTCTGACTGGGATTAATGAAGAACACTGCCCACCACAATACAACTATACTCAGTATAAGGAAATCCTGAGGTCAGGCAGAATTAGGTAACAAGAACTAACCCCTGAAGCCCCAGCAACTTTACCAAGAGAAACACAGCAGGGTTATCAAGATGGACCAGCAGAGTTAGATCCCTAGAACCCACAGTGGAAAGAAAACCAACTCCTGAAAGGTCCTCGGACCTCCACCCACGGCAAGCACCACGGTATACTCACGCCCACACTCAGATATTACACCCATTTTTTTTTTTTTAAAAACAAGCAATTCATCTTTCTGTGATTACCTATGCCTTTCTTACTCCACACTGGAGTCAGAGGCAGGCGGATCTCTTTAGTTCAAGGACAGCCTAGTCTACAGAGCAAGTTCCAGGACAGCCAGAACTATTACACAGAGAAACCCTGTCTCGAGAAACCAAAACCTCCTTCATTTTTTGCATGAAGGAATAGAGAGAAACTTGCCTAAAGTCAATAGACTAAATTCACTCAGCAAGCCCATTTATTAACTAACCTGTCACATCTTTCACTTCGTGGGAACTCAGTAGAGAATAAAACACAAGATTATGTTAAAGGATTAAGAGGCACATTCAATATATAGATGTACAAATAAATAGTATACTGCCATGTACTTACAATTACTATGAATTAAAATAAAGCAGAAAAGAGGCTAGTGGGTGAAGTGAGGCGTTATTTTTGAAAGGTTCAGATTTGTTGGGAAGTAACTAGATGTCTCGGGTTAAGGATAACTGAAGGCAGTATAAGAAACAAAGATCTCAAGCCCTGCACAGTTAAGGACAGAAAAAAAAAGATACATTCTAGAAAATTCCACTGAGCTTCCAAACAGGCCCGAGGAGAAATGTTAAGTGGAGGAGGAAGGACACCTCAAACCAAGCCCATATGTGTGCTGCGGAGGGTGTGTGAGTCGTTAGTGGGGTTTGACCAGAATTAGTGCAAGCAAAATAAGTTTGTGAAAACTATGGGAAGGATGGGGGGTGAGAGGGGAGAGACCAAATTCTGAAACTCAGCTCAATGAAGGAAGGGGTGGGTGGAGATGAGCAAAATGCCTGAACCTGCTTATCATTATTAGTACCTTCCTCTTACGGAGGGGAACCGCCTTGTTGGGGTCCATGGCCAACCCCATCTCCGCCAGGTTCTGCCGCACGGATTTGGTGTGGTCCCAGGCATGTCGGATGTGGGAGCTAACGGCAAAGAAAGAGATGGAGATTCTGTCACCTCGTCGTCGATCCCAGCGAGGCCCCCTGCCTCCTAACTGGCATCTCACCACTCGATCCGAGGCGCAGCCTTCCGACGAGCATTCCGATTCAGACGCTTTCGGTTGACATTGTAACCGAACTTCTGCCTGCGAGTCTTTCCCTTGGCCTTGGGCATCGCGCGGACTCCCGAAACTGCAGCTCAAACTCCGAACCACACTCTCGGAGCCGCGTGTTAGCAGGTTCTGTGCCCCAGTGCGCGCAGGGATTTTCGGGAAATGTAGTCTTTTAGCAGCGCCTCTACATTGACTTAATACAACTCCCAGAATGCAACCGGCAGTGACGCCTGCGTAGTACCCTCAAGGCATTTCCCCCGCCCTCGTGGTGACGTCATCGCCAGAAGGCGTGGTTCGGCGACCGGATTTTTGTCCTACCAGTTTCTGTGCCGGTGGGTATGGCGGCTTCCCGTCCTGTGAGTTCAGAGGCACCTTTCGATCCGTCCCAGACCCCAGTCATCGAGGGCTTCAGCCCCTCGGTCTACAGCAACCCAGAGAGCTTCAAGGACAAATTTATTCGCAAGACCCGTGAGAACCCAATGGTCCCCATAGGTAAGTGTGTGCTTCAGGAACCGAAGACCGAGGTGACTGTGGTTTCGTGGGGGAATGAAACAGGGGAGGACCAAGCACGCCTTGGGGAGGGGAAAGGGAGTTGACCGAAAAGGATCGGAACGTGTTGCGGGGCCTGAAGAAGCGGACTCCCGCCCTCCTGTTGAGGTCTACAAATCGTGGCTCTGGGAAAGTGCAGGACCCAACCTGTTCCCCCCGTGTGTTATCCTCTCCCCAGGCTGTCTGGGTACGGCGGCTGCCCTCTCCTATGGCCTTTACTGCTTCCACCGCGGCCAGAGCCACCGCTCCCAGATAATGATGCGCACCCGGATCGCTGCCCAGGGTTTCACGGTCGTAGCCATCTTGCTGGGGTTAGCGGCATCTGCTACGAAGTCTCGACCTTGAATGTGTGGCCGGGCCTTGAAAGCTCCATGGAAATCATTATAAAAACCCAGGAGCAACCAACAGCCCTGTCAGACTTATTCCCTCCTTTTCTGACAGTATCCTGTAGTCATTCGGGTTGAGGAAGTGGCCGATTTTTGTGACTGATTTCCAACCCCTACCCGAAATCCCTGGTTCTCTTCAATTGGGTTGCACACTAAAAATTCGTGATGCGTCCCCTTAACTACTTAATAAAACCTTAATACGCTTGTAATGTGATGAAGTCTTTCTTAGTCTCATTCCCATGGTCAAAACCATGATTTCTGGTCAATGTTTTTAGGAAGGAGCAGGCTGTTGGTAGGACTGGCCTTTAGAAAAATCAGCGGGCCTGATAGTGCTTATAGCCTCAACTGTTGTGAAGGTTGGGGGAGAAGAATCTTTCCTGTAAGTTCAAGAGTTCAGGGTCAGCTAGGAGAGCAAGTTAGTGAGACCCTATATCAAAATTTAAAATGGTCTGGGGGTACAGCTTAGTGGAATAGCATGTGTTCCTTGTAAGGCCCTAGGTTCAATCTCCAATAATGAGCATAGTGCCACCCAAACTTTGCTGGTAACAGTCATTTGTTCACTAATTAAAAATAGAGTTCCTGAAATGTTCATCCGTGGGATTCTGGTTCAGTGGGCCAGAATTGGTTCTGTTTGGTGGAGTAGGGGGATCTTTGCCAGCAATTTTAAAGTTTCTGTAGCCTTTAGATGAGTCTTGTCTTGGTCCTGGTGGAATGAGGTGTTCAACTCCCAGACCACCATCTGTTTTTGTCTCCTTCTTACTCCAGTTCTCCCTCCTCTGCAGCCCCCAGGCTCTGCTGATCTATACCGTCCAGCTTTTGACAGGAAAGTCTCAACAGGCATTTGTGGTCTGTGGTCAGCACTGTTGACTTGAACCGGGCCCCTCCCATGTGTGACTCTGACCCTCTCAACACCCTGACTCGGCTGGGAAAAGGGAAGACAGTGAAGATACATTTCTTGTGACTGACGCGTCCTAGATCTGAGTGGAAGAGTTCCATGACCACAGCCAGGTGTTTGCACCTCCATGATGAGCTTAGCTGTGAGGTAGATTGCCAGGGTCGATCGAACACTGCAATGTGAAGCCCACAGGATGTGAGGACAGGACATAAAGAGCGGAAGATGGCTCCATTTCTAAAAGTCATGTCCATTGTGTTAGTGTTAAGATGCCCACCCCTTTTTAAAATCCAGATTTTTAATAGTGACAAATAAAAAGTTATTTGTGATGATGAAAGAAAAAAAGATGCCCACCCCTTAAAAATACATTTGAGAATTGGTTTCCAACTCTCAATTCTTTAGGTATTATTTTGGCAATAGGGACTTTATAGCCACTAATAATTAAAGTCTTTAAGGTGGGCTTTAATCCAGTAAGACTAGTATCCGTGTTTTTTAAAAATTGGACACACAAGACATAGGAGGAAGAAGAAGACAGCCATTTCCGGATGTAGGCAAAATTAGGGGGCTGTATCTGCAAGCCAAGGAATGCCTTAGCTACTGGAAGTTAGAAAAAGGCACAGATCTTGCCTTACCATCTACAGAGGGTGTGGCTTGGTGGGGTCCCTGATTTGGGAATTTAGCCTCCAAAACTGTGAGACAATAAGCTTCTGGTGCTCTGAGACACCCAGGCTTTGGTACTTTGTTATGGCAACCTTAGGGAACAAATGTTGGCAGTTACTCAAATCTTTTTCAAACATATATAGAGTATAATGGCTTAGATGTCGTGTTTCACAGCCTCTGCTGAAGGAGAAAATGGTGTAATTTATCCCAACGCCACAGGAGGGAAGGGCTGAGAAGGGAAGGCACATCTGCGATGCATCTTAGAGGGTCCCTGTCACTCCCAAGAAAGAAGGTCTGGCAGATGAGGTCTCCCGTCTTAGACACCACCGCAGAGGCCACCGGCCTCACCTGCTGATTCTGTCCTGGGAGCCTTAGTTTTCTTAGCAGAGATCCTACCTTCAGTCTTTTTAAAAAATCACAGAGAGCAAGGTTGCAAGAATGTTCTGTGAGAGCCCATCTTTCCTCTTACTGGGCGAGACAGCAGGCACAGTCTGGGGTTCCTGCTTCCAGCTTGGAACGCCTGAGTTTCCAAGAGGACATCCTCCCCACTTAAGGGCATGAAACTAGGAAAACTTCTAAGCACAAAATGAAGCCCTGACACCAGTTGCAGCTTCCAGAGAAATGAGGATAATAATAAATAAGTGTAAAAAGAGTTAACATACCCTTTAAGCCAAGAAAAAAAATACATCAGGAGAGACAGTCACAATTGAGTGGGCTGAGAGGAGTCAAGAGGGGCTGGAACATAGGGCCAGGAGGGAGTGGGGGTTGAAAGGGGTAAGGGTCCCACATCCCAGCTCCCAGAGATGCAGAGGAACAGAACAGGCTGTGTGTGGCAGCTGCCAGAGGAAGTTCCACCCTGGCTGAAGCAGCCGCTCCTCCGCCTCAGCAAGGCCCATGCTTTGTGGCCATTCTCAGGGCAGGCACCTAGCGGGACAGTGGTGTCTGCTTCAGTGACATGAGCACCGAGCGCAGGCGGGACACGTCTTTGCACTGCTTGCTGCTCTTGGGGTTGAAGTCACACAGCTGGGCTACCTTCTCCCACTCTGTGCCTGGGGTCTCCTCCTTGGATTCCTTCACGAAAGCCTCTTCAGATGCCCTGAAGGTGGAGGAAGGACAAAGGTTTTCATGGTTGCCTTCTCCTGGGCCACTAATGTTCTGCTCCCATCAGTCTGTGGTGTGTAGCCTACTCTAGGACATTAGCCAGTCTTCCCAGCCCTGTGCCCTATGGCTTCAGCCACCAGAAACGGTCTGGACATAAGTGAGGAAGCATACATAAGTCATCTAGACCCAGGGCTTTTGAACTTTCTGTCACCTCTTCCTGAGAGGGTTTTTCACCAGCTCATGGTCTGGCGCTTTTTGTTTGAGCCCGTGGCTCACTATGTAGGCCAAGCTGCTATTGAACTCGAGCTCAGGAGAGCCTCCTGCCTCAGCCTCTCTGGTCCTGAGACTACAGGTGTGTATCACTGCACCTGGCTGGCTTGTTGCTTGTCATTTCATTCCCAGAATGGGCTTTACCACCTCAGAAAGACCTTCCCAGCCAGGGTACTCTGTGCTCAGTCTGTCCCTTCCTACCTTCCCTTTTGTTTTTGTGTATTTGTTTGTATTTGTTTAAACGGGGTCTCACATACGCCAGGCTACATGCATAGCCAGGGTTGACCTTGAACTCCTGATCTTGCTGAGATTACAGGTGTGTAATCTCACCTGTATCTTTCCATCGTTTTTCCTTTCTTTCCTTCTTTTTCAGTCCTAGGGATTGAACCTGGGCCTCAGACATTCTGAGTAGTTAGTCTACCACTGGGCAATGTCTCTACCTCAACTATTGTCAGCATCTCCAAGACCTGACCAAGAGAGGACACTGACTAACCACCCAAACAACTGTGGAATGGATGGAGAATCTCTACAAGCGTATCTGACTCCAGAAACCTTCCGAGCTCACAACAGCCCTATCTGGATGGAGCCACAGCCTGGGGAGGCTGTTGGAGGCATTGCTTCAGTTACAATCACGTTAGGATAACGTGGGGCGTGGTTTCTGCTTCAGGGATCTACTTGTTTTGATGACACTGGGTTGAATTTCTGTCGGCTATGACAGGCAAGAACTCTTACCACACTTCAGAATTGTGTTGACAGTTTTGGAAGTCACTGATTTAAAGTGCTCGGACATAAATGGGACATGTATAACACATACCAGGGTTCAGTGACCATAGAGGAAAGGTGGCAGAAAGATTTTAGCCAGAGGTCAGGAGGAATGGAGAGAAACAGCGTCTTGTGGACATGACAGGACCCTAGCAGTCATGAACCACAGAAGCTGTGGTTACCTCTACAAGATCAAATCAGTCAACATTCTAGCGTGGAGTGGGAGGGGTTCAGGAGCCCCTCCCTCTGACTGAGGAGCTGTATACATACAGCCCATGGCTTCTGGGGAAGGGAAAGTCAGTCTTGTTTAAGTGTATGGCTCCCAGTCATTCCACACTGAAGAGTTTATGAACAGAACAAATTGGACTCAGTTATTTGGGAGGGAAAAGGATACAAAGTTGCCGGGAAGTTGGGAGGTGGGTCCGGGTGATGGCGGAGGGAGCTCCAGGTGGTCCTGCTGGGCTGTCTGTCATGATCTTGCCTTTCTGTCATGTGCTCCACTAACCTGTGAGGAGAGAAGCATGGCTTCTACTCTTCTGATCTGTTCTCTGAGCTGAGTAGCCAGTGTAGTGATGGGTCTATGCTGTGTGGGACTGGACAGTGGGTGTGGATAAAGGCTTTATCCTTGGCGATTCCTGTCAGGGTCAAGAGGTTCCCCTCTGCCTTTACTGCTAATCTGTACCCTATAGTGAGAAAACCACTCTGTCCACACCTGTTACACTGACCATGCCCATTGGGGGTGGGGACAGGTGCAGATGTGACCTGAGGGAACTAGGTCTGGGGTAGGGACCCCAGAGCCCTCTCTTGCTTGCTGAACAGAGACAGAGCATCCGGAGGCATCCTTGGGAGGGGAACCTACTGGCGTTCATCTGTCTCTGTTGTAAGTTATTTCTCCCTGAATAAACATCTATTCAGCCTATCTGTTTTTCCCCGATTCTTACTATTCCACAATAGTACCCCACGCCCGGCAGCATGGCATCACCATGGAGCTTCTTAGGAACAGGCTGAGCCTCACCTCAGTCCTGCGGAACCAGAGTCTGCCTTGCTCAAGCTGCCTTGGATATGCGTGGGCAGGTGAAAGGCTGAGAAGTCTCGGTTCCAATTCTGTCTCCTTCAGAGCCTTGTTGGGTTCTCTGGACCAGTTCCTTGGGTCCAATAGGAGCACTGAACCCAGAAGTGTTCTACCTGCCAGGTAGTTCCTCTTCCCCTGTTGGGAGCCTCCATGGCTCCCTACTGCCTGGAGGGCCAAATCTCTTAGCCTAGCACAATAGAGTCCAGCTGGGACCTCCCGACTTCAGTTTCCATTCATCCCCACAAACTTAGCCTTCAGTCCTCTCCAGGCCTCTGCCCCGGCTGCTTCTCCCACCTAGAGTGTCCTTCTGCACCCTTACTACCCAGAAATTCATTTTTAAATCTGAAGGTGCAGCCAAGGGTCATAAGTGGATGCACTGAGTCCCCAGCAGAGAAGGTGGCTTCCAGAGCTCGTAATATAATGTATTCCCAACCCATGAGCAACTTGCAGGGGAGGGCTATGTGTCTCTTCGCTCTGTTTGACCAGTGACTGGCACAGGGTCAGTACCTGTGTGAGGGCCAGATGGGAGAAGGAAGGGCCGAAGGAAGGGAAGGCTGCTGACTACTGCTGTGGCCTGTGCTGTGTAAGCCAGGGCCAGTGCAGATGGCCACAGTGGCATGTGGTTCAGCAAGGCGCAGCTCCAGCAGGGACAGTAAGGAAATGTGTGAAATGAGTAAACAGTTCTCAGAAGTCACTGTCTTCCCTGTGGCTTCCCCAATAGTACTGTCACCGGGGGCCGGTGTAAGAGAAACCTGCTTGCCATTCCAAATCCAGAGCAGCACAGATGGAGCCAGACTCCAAACCCAGATACATAGGAGAAGGGCTGCTGCGGAGTGGGCATGGGCTCATGGTCAGGTCGGTGTACTTAGGGGCGGGGGCAGGCGTAGACACATAAAGGCATCTCTTATCGCCTGTGCCTTCAGCAAGCTATGCTTGGTGTCTGTCCAATGAAAGTACACTTCTCAGAGAGGAGCTGGGCCTCTGTGTCCTTTTCCCCTCCCCTGTGAGGCTGGGGGGTGCGTTCCCTCCTCCACCCCCACTAGGGAACTCTAATGGGCAAAGCTGCCCCCAGTTTGCTGGAGGGACAGAGATGGAAAGATGGGAGGCAAGGGCTGCACCAGTCCTGGAGTTGCCCTCCGCTCTGGTCATCGCTCTGAGCCCAGCCACATTCGTTTATACCACAGACAAGAGACTGAAAAACCGCCGGGCTGCCCTCCACAGCTGCCCCTGCAGAGAGCAAAGGAGACACGTACACATAGCCAATGATATCAGCATCTGGCTGCTGGTAGAACGCTTTGTCAGCAATCCTTGAAGAAAGAGTTAGGAGGAGGAGTTAGGTGGGGGAGGACAGGCAGCAGGACAGGCAGGCAAGGGTTAAAGAGAAAGAGAAACAGTGTTAGTACTCCGCAGGAGACACGGTAGGGAAGTACAGTTTAAATGCTAACAGTAGAGGTTTGTGCACCTTTGCCAGCTTCCTACTGCTCAGTGAGGTCTCTTCCCACGGCCCTTCCAGTGTCACTCCCATGTGCCACCCATTTCCCAAAACCCTTCCCTCTGCATTTAGACTCCCTGCAGACCAGGTCTAAAATGCGCTCCTAACACCAGTTCCTTCCTGACCCGAAGTCATCACACGGCTCTAGGCCAGGGCCCTCAGCCCTCCTAACCCTAACCCTCAGACACACGGCTCTGGGCCAGGGCCCTCAGCCCTCCTAACCCTAACCCTAACCCTAACCCTAACCCTAACCCTCAGACACACGGCTCTGGGCCAGGGCCCTCAGCCCTCCTAACCCTAACCCTAACCCTAACCCTCAGACACACGGCTCTGGGCCAGGGCCCTCAGCCCTCCTAACCCTAACCCTCAGACACACGGCTCTGGGCCAGGGCCCTCAGCCCTCCTAACCCTAACCCTAACCCTAACCCTCAGACACACGGCTCTGGGCCAGGGCCCTCAGCCCTCCTAACGCTGTGACCCTTGAACACAGTTCCTCATGTTGTGGTTTGCTGCTACTTCATAACGGCTGTGACCCACAAACGGAGAACCACTCACTGTTCTAGACACTGGTCCTTCTCTGGCACGCTAATTGCTTCCTTGCTTCTGTGGTCTTCACATATAGGGCCCCAGTGGATTCAAGTTCAGCTGTACCTGTGTGATACTCTCCTCTGAACTCTTAGAGGACACAGAAGGGTCCTCATCTGACACCCAGTGCCCAGGTGACATGCAGTATGTTGACTGTCTTTCCCTCCCAGGAAGACACAGCGTCCAGAGCAGGAGAACACCCATTTCCACAAATGTGTCCCCTGGTTTGCACCCATGTCCCGCCCAGCTTGTGCCTTACAGGGTCAGCTGCTCCCACTGCAGTCCCTGTAGTTTAGATGGGACAGGCTGCTCCAGTGAATGGGACTTGACCCTGGCTGGGTCCCATTGGAGCAGCCCTCCGTGTGCCTACGGTCAGGGGCCTGGCATGGGCCCATAGCCCAAGCCAACTCTGGCAGGAGCCACTAGATACTTGCTGTCCTCACTGAGCTTGCCATCGGAGAGGAGCAGAAGCCTGAAGCTGCTGTTCCCATGCAGGGGTGTGTGTCCCATAGGGAAGCCAGAACAGAGGGAGGCAGAGCTGAGTGGCGGGGAGAGTGAATGCCCACTGACTTCGTTTACGCCCTAGGGCCACTGCTAGGGCCCTTTCACATATGCAGGCCGCTAATGTCCTCTCATCCCTTAGTCACACTGGGTGGAAGTACTGGCGTTTCTATAAGAAATGGAGTCAGATTCTCAGGCTGCCTCTTCACTGCCAGCCATGCCTGGGCCCTCTAAGTCACCTACAGAGGGCTCAGGGTCCCGGAGCGACTGCGCACACTCCAGGCCGTGGCTCCCATTCTGCTTCCTGTCACCATGGAGGATGGGGGTGGCATGCTACGAGGGGCCCCGCGCTCCCAGCAGCTCTTTCCTCCATGTCCTTGCGACATCACCTGCCTTAGGACACCACCACTCCCTCCATCGCCTCCATGGTCCCCTTTCTGTCCTCACAGCCCCTTCAGGGCTCCTCAGCTCCCCTCGCGCCCTCAGGGCTCCCCTCAGACCCCCAGGTTTACTCGCCTATTGTTGATCTTGTTCTTCTCGACTTGCTCGCTTTGGCGCTGGTTCCACTCCTCCAGGTCCTTTTTGGCCTTCTCCCTCCACTCCTGTTCAGTCACCTTAGAGGCAGCGTCTGGGAGCCCAGCAGGAGAGTGAGTAACAACTTTTCTGTGGAGAGCAGCCACCCTGGATGCCCCACCCCTGGCCCCCAGCCAGCAGCCCAGGGGCCCACCCTCAGCCAAGTGGGCCTGCGCAGACTCCAAGGCTGCCTCCCTCCGCCCCACCCACCGTGTCCCAGAAGCCCTGGGCAGGATCAGCTCTCCCTGGCATGTGCTCACCCAGCTCCTGCAGCCTTTTCTTCTGTTCCTCTCTCCACTTCCGGATGCTCTCAGGCTCCTGAGTCAGCCTGTCCGCCTGGGCAATTGCAGCATAGCCATCGGCAGGCCCATTAGCCTCCTACAACACAAGCAGTGTCCCGGCCCATCATGCCTGCCCTGCTGTTTGTGCCGCTCTTAGTGCAACCAAGACAGCCCTCAAATCAGGCCACCCAACCCACTCTGCCACCAAGTGATACACCTTTACACTCTGTTCCCGCTGACAGCAGACTGCTCCCAGGTGGCCTCAGGCAGGCCACTCAACCTCCCAGTGCCTGGCCATTGCCTCAAGCCCAGACAATTGACTCATAAACCCTTTCATTATAAAACAAGATAAGTCAACCCATAGAGCTGATACAGAATGAAATGAGAATTAAAATTAAATTTGCGCCTGAAGAGATGGCTCCGTGGTGAAGAGACTTGCTGCTCTTGCAGAGGACCCTAGTTCAGTTTCCAGCACCAATGTGGTGGCTCACAACTGTCTCTAACTCCAGTTCCAGGAGACCAGATGCCCACGTCTAGCCTCTAAAGAATGTGCATGCTGCTGGTATACATACATACATATAAGCAAAACACTCATACACATAAAATAAATCTTTTTTCAAGCTATAGATGCCATCTGTTTTTGCACACATGGAGTCCCTTGTGCTACCATCATTAAAAGCTGTTACAGTTGTGTTCCATGATAAAACTTAACACAGTCTAACTTGACCTCATTACTAATGTGTTCATTTGTCCGCCAGAGTGTTACCTTTGTGACAGCAGGGACCTTGTCTGTTGTGTTCCATTGCTTTGTGTACAGAGCTCACCACAGTGCCTGGCACATAGGAGACAGCAGACATTTGCTCAGTGAATGTGCGGCCCAGAGACAGGCAGCACAACCATGACTAAAACTCGGCCATGACAGTGGGGGAGGGAACAGCTGGAGAGACTGCACAGGAGTTAAGTATTGTGGGACATTGTACAGGGTGCACACTGTGTGAGGATGTATTTGTTGTGAGTGCTGTAACACAAAGATGAACGGCCAGTAGCAACACAAGAAGTATAGGTGGGATTTCCAGGGAGAGAAAGGAAGAGGAGGAGGCACTGAGGCATGCAGGAGCCAGGAGACAAGAGCTGCAAGATGGAAGATAGGTAACGCCGCGTGATAGAACACAGGTTAAGATAAATAGGTTAATTTCAGTTATGAGGGCTAGTTAGGAACAAGCCTAAGCTGTAGGACAAGCTTTGGTAATTAATAAGAAGTCTCCATGTCATTATTTGAGAGCTGGTTGGCGGAACAGAGAAAGACTTCTTACAGTTAGGAGCATGACTGTTTTTTCAGGGGACCCAGGTTTGGTTCCCAGCACCCGCAGGGCAGCTCACAACTATCTGTCACTCCAGCTCCAGAGGCTCTGACACCCTCTTTTTGTCTCTGTAGGCTCCAGGCATAGGCATACATGCAGGCTGTGGTGGTTTGAGTGAGAACAGCCCCCATATTATCATATATTTAAATGCTCGGTCCCCATTTGGTAGAACTGTATAGGAAGGATTAGAAGGTGTGGCCTTGTTAGGAGGAGTTGTGTCCCTGGGGGCTGGCATGGACATTTCAGAGCTCACCCCATTGCTAATTAGCTCTCTGTGTCTCACGCTAGTGGCCCAGGATGCAAACTCCCTGCTACTCCTCCAGCACCATGCCTGCCTGCCTGCTACCATGCTCATTACCTTCCGTGGTCATGGACTCTGACCTCTGAAACTGTAAGCCCCAAATAAACTCTTTCTTCTCTATGTTGCCTTGGTGTGATATATTATTACAGCAATAGAAAAGTAAGAAGACACGGGCAAAATACCCATATACATAAAATAACAAAACATTGCTCTGGTAAACTTGGACTCTAAAGACATACAATCACATTGCTGAGAGCTGGAAGATGTGTGTTTGGCTGGGTGAGTTCCTGAACATACCCAGCCTGTTTTCCTCACTGAAAATGGGACTCATAGTAAGATGGCCTCTCAGATCTGATGCAGTGGTGTTTGTAAAGTATTGATTTCTCTGTGTAGAAACAGGAATGGCCTAGAACTTGGTCTAATGGAAGATAACCTTGAACTTAGTGAGTGCAGGAATCAGGTGTACTCAGTGTTGTGGATGAAACTCAAAGCTCTGTGTAGACTAAGCAAGCACTCTTCCAGCAAAGTTACATTCCCAGCCTTTTGTAAGGCACAGAGCCCCTGCTACAGAGAGATGGCTCAGTGGGTGGTATTAGGATCACTCTACTTACTTACTTGTATGTGCCAGAGATGACCTGAGTGTGGAGGTCAGGGAGCAGTTGGAAGGAGTTGGTCCTCCCCTTCCACTGTGTGAGTTCTGGGATTGAACTCAGGTCCTCAGGTTTGGCAACAAATGCCCTTGCCACTTTGTCATCTCACCAGCCATCACTGTCGTTTTTCATCCCCATTATACAGAAGAGAACCAAGGTCAAGAGAGGGGGATAGATGTAGTGGGATTCAGATCTGGTGACAGAGTTGCTAGAGCGTGGGACAGAAATGTTGGGGGTTGTGTACTTGGAGTCAGTATGGATGGGGCATCTCTAGTCTGAGAGACTCTTCCTGGAAGATGAGAGTGGGCCCTGCCACCATGCTTGGCTGGTGCTCTGCCCTCCTTGTTTCCTGTGGGCACTGACCCCACAGAGCTCCGACTGCAATGTGCCCTGTCTCCTTATTCCACCACAGACATGTCCACCTTGGGATCTACCTCCACCCAGCATGTTCCAGGCCCTCACATCCCAGACTCCTCCATCCCAGACTCCTCCATCGCAGACTCCTCCATCGCAGACTCCTCCATCCCAGACTCCTCCATCGCAGACTCCTCCATCCCAGACTCCTCCATCGCAGACTCCTCCATCCCAGACTCCTCCATCCCAGACTCCTCCATCCCAGACTCCTCCATCGCAGACTCCTCCATCGCAGACTCCTCCATCCCAGACTCCTCCATCCCAGCACCTCCTGCCACAGTCTTCTCTACCTCTGCTATCTACCCAAAGCTCCTAGTGGGCAGGGCAGGACCTACTTACATTGCAGCTCCCTACATTCCCTCAGTCCGTGGCTCCCTGCCCTCCAATCGTTTGCCCAGCTGTCAGTATTGCTGTTGTTTATGTCTCCCCCTTTCAGCCACCGATGACCTTGTCCTAGATTCAATCCCAGATACAAAATAAAATGACCCATGCAAAGCCTAATTAAAATAATGTCCTGTCCACTTTTAAAATGACCCAAAAGCCAGGCACGGTGTCACACACCTTTAATCCCATCACTCAGGAGGCAGAGGCAGGTGGATCTCTGAGTCCAAGGCCAGCCTGGTCTACAGAGTGAGTTCTAGGACAGCCAGGGACACACAGAGAAAGCCTGTCTCAAAAACCAAAGGAAGCGCTGCGCGCGCGCGCACACACACACACACACACACCAACAACAACAACAACAAAAACCCAAAGTCTTTCCGCTATAATTTGAATAAAAATCCAGTCTCCACTCTCCTGTTCCCTGACTTCTGTTTTGGACAGTGCACCCTTGACACACTGTCCTTGAACAACTCATGTGGTTCCTCCCCACCCCTAAGTGTGCTGGCCTGGAGCTCCCGTCCCTTAGAGCCAGGGTTTCCATCCTCACTCTCTTCCTGTGTGTAAGTCAGGCCAGTGCTCTGAAAGAGGCCTCCACTCCCGTGGCCACCATTGTTCCTTTGTTTTCTTTTTTTGCTTTGTCTTGATTTGATTTTTTGAGACAGGGTTTCTCTGTAGCTTTGGAGCCAGTTCTGGAATTCACTCTGTAGTCCAGGCTGGCCTCGAACTCACAGGGATCCACCAGCCTCTGCCTCCTCAGTGCTGGGATTAAAGGTGTGCGCCACCACTGCCTGGCTTGTTTTGTTTTATTACTAGTAGAATAAACTCAGGTCCACAGTCCTGTGTCTCAGGCCTGCTCCATCCACTTTCGTTTTAAATTACACTTATTTAATTTATGTGTATATGCACACACCATGGTGTAGCTCTAAAGTCAGAGACAACTTCAGGAACCCATTCTCTCCTTCCACCATGTAGGCCCTCAGGGTTGAGGACAGTTCCCTCCTGTGAGCTGTATTACTTCTCTTCCCTCCCCCCCCCCCACCCCTGCTTCCTTACCACCCCCCTCCCTTTTTCCTATTTGAGGGTCATGTCCTTGATCCTCCTGCCTCAGTCTCCAGGGAACTGAGACTCCAGGCATTTGCCACCGCCATGAGCTATAGCACTTTAAGCAATCTCTCTCCAGTTAGCCTTCCTCAAATAGTCACTGACTCTGAACTTTGAAGTTTTTCCACAATGGTGGCCTCTGTATTGAAGATATTCAGTTTTGTTGCTTGTCTCTATTTCCTAAATATTACTGTGTAACAACTGTTTACAAAGCAATTACACTGTTACACTGTATTAGCATTATCATAACCCAGAGATAATTTAAAGTACACGGGAGGATATGTATAAGTTATATACAAATACCATGCTATTTCACACACACACACACACACACACACACACACACACACACACTGCTGGAATTGGGATTGTTTTACTAAGCCATACCACAACCCCACTACTTTACCATTTTATTACAATAACTTGAATTCTTAGATGGTTCTGGATCATTACTTTGTATCATTACTTCCATCATCTCCAGAAATCTCACCTAAAGTCAGGGTCCCAGAGCACTTGTGACTAAATGGGTGGCTTTGGTCTTTACAGCTCCACTTAGAAGGGTTTACTACCCTTGTTTTATAGGTAAGAGGACCGTAGTGCCAAAGTGCCAAGGTTGTCAAGCAAGAGACAGAGCCAGGCTCAAAGTGAGTAACTGGGCGTGAACGTCCTCGTCACAAAACGCCTGACGGGAACACTGCCCTTCTGTCCCATGACTCCTACACCGCCGTTTGTCTCATTGGTCCCGTGCCCACCATCGCCCGGGGCTGGGGACTGAGTCAGGGCCTGTGCATGCTGGACAAACACATGGCTGCTGCTTAGTGACCTTCTCAAGATTAGACACTTTGTCCCTTGTGGTCCCTGCCTACACACACACAGACACACACACACACACACACACACACACACACACACACCACTGCCTCCAGGCTACTCAGCTCATTTAGTGGACATGTCAGTAATTTATAAGAAACTCATGGTTACAGAGTACTTTTCCCAACAACCCTGTGGGGACAGCAGGCTAGGGCCTTGAATCCCCATTTTACAAAGGAGAGACTGAGCTCAGAAAGGTTAAGTTACTAATCCAAGGTCCCCCAGCTGGGAAAACCCAGAAAATGAATTGTAGGCATCCACTGCTGTCTGTGGTCTGGGTATGAAGCCTGGGCAGCCCTTGGAACAGTTTTACTTTACCCGGGACACGTGAGGCTCAGTCCCCTCTCTACAGCACCTCCCACACCTGGGGGCAGATTTGGCCTGTTCCAGGGCCAGGATATGAAGTCTGCCCAAGCTGGGACGGCCTCCTACACCACACAAGAGGCCACTGATGTGCTGTGGTCGGGAGTTATGTGTCTCTTTAAGCAGTCAATCAGCCCTGCATCTGTGGCCTCGTGTGACATCCCTCTATGTGGTAGAGTCCACAGGCACTCTGCATGAGCCCTGCCTGAGACAAATGTCTTCCCTTCTGTTCATTTACACATGCTGCCCCCTTAGCCAGGCCAGCCAGGCTCTAGCCAGCCTTGCAACCCACTCCCTGTGTCACTTCCCTGCTGGGCTCCCAGACTTCAGCTTCTGAAGTTACTGAAGCTCTGTCACTAGAACAGCTATTAAATCTCCTTGAGCAAAATGGGGATAATAAAAGCAACTGCATAATGAGGTATTGGGAGGGTTAAGTGGGTTAATCCTGCAACGCTTTCAGTTGGTTTTAGACACAAAAAACACTCAAGCTGTTAGATTTTTTTAAAGATTTTTTTTTTAAGGCCTTCAAAATATGCCTCACGCTACCCTTGAACTTATGACCCTCCTGTCTCATTACCCTCAAATCCAAGCTCGTAGGCTATGGTGACTTCTCCCCCGGTTTCTGTACTCCATTAGAAATGAACTCTGGGGACAAACACTCCATTGGCTCTGTCTTCACATCCACCACCACAGCACAGGCCTGGCCCACAAAGAATGTGAGCTGAGAAATGAATGAACAAATAGCTGATTATAAAGACGGGGGAGGACCCAGGAGAGACGCTGGGCACTGTATCAGAGAGGCCTGGCTTAAAGTGCCTATTCTGCCACTGTTGAGAAAAATCCCTTCCCTGGGCAACTTTGATTTCAAACCTGTGACATAAGAGTGACAGTATCCCACTCAAGGAACCTAGTAAGACTCGTATACAGCAAGAGCCATAGAATCACCCCATGGCCACTCACATAAAGAAAGTATGACCACTGAAGCTCACCGTCACCATGTGGCTAGGGCCCTCACTGCCAGACAGGGTGAGCACAGCAGGGCTGCTGGCAGGCAGGTCCTGAGAAATACTTCACTGGCTTTTCTCCTGGTTGCTTTGGATTTATTTTCCTGTCCGTGCCAGTAAACATCAGAGGCCACACTGAGGCTCATCCATATCCATTTGAGCCTCCTAGGTGGGGCATGGGGTCAGTTCCAGAAGGTGTAGCAGCTCAGGGCTATAGTGGCCACACTAGTGGCTGAAGAAGCACTCTGAACTCCTCCAAAGCTCCATAGCGGAAAAGACTGGTTATGGCCAGGAGCAGAAAACCAGCTGATCTCCACCCAGCCTCCTGCCAGGTAGTCCTTGCTGGCCAAGCGCATGCTAAAACCCCAGAGATAGCCAGGACGATGAGGCATATCCGCCTTAGGATTGAGCAGCTCAGGGTAAGCTGGGCTGAGCTGCTGATTCCTTTAAGTAGCTCACAGGGAAGGAGAGGGGAGGGGAAGGGAGAGAAGAGGGGAGGAGATGCAAGGGTGGGGGAGAGAACCGGTGCTGGGGGGAGAAGAGGAGCCCTGCAAGGCCCTCCATCCCTGCCCCTGTCCCCCATGCGGCCAAAGCAGCTGGATGGAATAGGTGCTGGTAGGCTAACCCGAGCCTGTGCTGGGGTGAGGTGTGTAGCTGGTCACCCACATCGTCTACCAGGAAAGACTGCAGCACAAAGGCTGGGTTTGCACAGGCCAAGGCTCCCACCCGCACAGTGCATGACAAATGCTGCTGAGCTCGACCCAAAGATAGTTCTCTGTGTGAGTGCGGCACAGTCCAGAGTGTACGCCCATCCAGGTAGGAAGCAGCTCTGCTACTAAACTAAGTGAATCTTCTCTTCCATGAGCCTCCCTTGCCCAGGGGGATTCACGGGCAAGCAATGTGCCTCCTGAGAGCAGAGAATGAAAATCACTGCCCAGACTGTGCTCTTCAGGGCCCCAAGTGGAAAGTGATGTTGGGGGGGGGTGGGGGGGTTCGGGGCCAGGAGAGCCAGGTCATCCAGGTGAGGAAAACCCCAGCAATAGCTGGCATCACTCTGTGACTTCATATAAATCTCTTCAACATCTATCTGTGATTCTCAAGCTTCTGTCAACTGAAGTGAAAGTCTGCTGCTCAGAATGTTCTAGATACTCCTGCGGTCCCAAGTGCTGCCCCAGCATGTCCACTTTAGAACAGAGGCCCTTTGAGCCATCAGAGACCTCATGAGTCTCTTGGAGCCCAGAACTGGCCTGTCAAAAGTTCTAACAGTACAAGAGTAACACTTATCCCTTAGTTCTGCTATACTCAACTGGGAATGAAGCTGGGGAGTCCTAGGGATACTTTGCTAACTCCCTGATGTTGAGTCATTTTTCAGAAATGGGGCAAGGCCAGTTTTCCTGTGTTAGGACCAGCCCATCCCACTTACATAAGAAAGTATTGTTTATCCTCCCAGGATCCAAGAGGCCAACTCCTCCACAGGGTGGGGCTCAGGAGATCAGGAAGCTGTAGGCCCTGACATCGGTGTTTTACCAAAGCTCACACATCTGGGGCTCTATACCTATTCGGGGTTCTGGGGGTGATTTAGCATCTGCACTCTCTCAGTCTGTGTGTTTTTGTGGTGCTGGGGATTTAACCTGGAGCTTCTCCACTAAACTCCATCCCTCATCTTTAACTGCAACACCCTCAACCCTCATCCGCCCCTTTCCCATCCTGTGGTGGAAATAGGAGACCAGGGCCTCTCGTTCTCAGGGCTACCATCGTTAACAATTGGAAAGCCTTTTCCACATATTTCATGCAAACACCCAAAACACTTGAAAGTGATATGTCATGATGGCACATCACTCATCCTGTAAGCTGCTTTAATGAGCGTGTATGCCTATAAGGACAGGAAGCTCTGACCGCCCTTTGTAACTAGAGCTGATTTCCCATCTATTAGGCCCCTGATTCTGGCCATTTAGGCTATTTCTAGTTTCTCTGTGTTAGAAGTCATTCTGTAGAGAGTCTAAGTATCCTTTTCCAATTATCCACTTAGGAGAAATTCCAAATTTAATCTCCCAGTCAAAGAGGCCACCCAGTTAAAGTGGAGATAGCCAGTCAGGCCAGCCTCCCACCAGAAATACCTTTTTGGGCAGAACTCTAATTTCCTTTATCCTGTGCCACTCCTTCCTGAAGCTAGAGGACAGCCTGAGCAACTCATCAGTCCCTGTCTCCAAAGGCTCCCTTCCAACATGACAAGAAGACAGCGAACGCACAGTGAGCCCTAAATGACCTCCAGTGGAGACAGAAGCTACCCTGAGCCTGAGGCAGGCAGTCTCACCTCTCTGCTTACCTGAAACGCATCTCCGTTGACTGTGGTCCCCATGTCCTCGGAGCCAGCTGGAAAGAGCAAGGAGACAGCGTCATTCAGGGTCCAGCTGACAGGCACAGGATGGTCCTACGGTGACCCCTGTGCATACACCCGTGGGTATACTGACACCTCCACCACAGACATAATGGATCTATAAACAACTGAGGCCCAGGCCCTGACTGTTCCCTGTGTGCCCTATAAGAAAACTTAGTGACCCATTTTACAGATTCTCAAGTAGGGCTACTCAAGAAAGGCTACTCTGATCAAGATCACCTAGCCAGTGCACTGTTCCTTACCTGCATGAAGTTAATTGTGGAGCTGGGACCTGGTAAGTAGACGGGGGTACTTCAGGTTTAGGGAGAGGCCACCAGGGATGAGGAAGACAGGGGTCTGTGTCTCTACATGTCCTGGTGGAACCTTGAGCAACCGCTTTGTTTGCCTGGGAGAGCAGGACACACAGCTCCCCCTGGGCAACACTTGGCCTATTTTCCCCTCTGTGCTCCTCCCAGGAGCACTTTGCCTTCACAGTGACTCCTCCCAATCCCCTTGTCCAACATCCAGTTAGTCACAAATTACCTGTAGCTTCTGCTGCAACAGTGACCCTCAAAGTTGCCTTCCCCTCACTCCTATGCCCACCCAACCTGTGCCCTCACCATCTCATACCTACACACCTGCTTTGGGTGGTCTGTCCTGCTAGGGCAAACACCTGGACGAGCACCATGGCTGTCTTCTTCAAAGCCATGCTTATGTGTGGGGCCTGGGCCTTTGTACAGGTTATCACTAGATAAACAAATGAATCCTGGTTTGGTTTTGTTTGGTTTTGAGACAGGGTTTCTCCATGTAGCTTTGTAGCCTGTCCTGGAACTCACCCTGTAGACCAGGCTGGCCTGGAACTCACAGAGCTCCTCCTGCCTCTGCCTCTGCCTCCCGAGTGCTGGGATGAAAGGTGTGCGCCACCATGGTCCTGCTCTTTTTATTTTTTAATGGTGTGCAAGTCACCTCCTACGGGGGGCCTTAGACCGCTTCTGCTGCGTCCCTGAGGCTCTGAAAGAGGTCTCATCTCTGGGATATCCAGGGTACTACATGGGATGCTCCACTCTCGTGCAATGACTTGGCATGCCTAGGGGCATGTACTCCTTACCAGGCTCTGAAAGCATATTTTCCCCCAACTAAGGGCTCCTGCATAGAATAGGCGAACAGAGGCCAAATGAGGATTGAATTGCTCTTTGGGGCTCACTGTAATCGGCAAGGCCTCTCTGGAACTGTCATGCCTCCTTGCGTGAGCCATAGCAGGCCTTGGCAGTCACCACAGAAGGACAATCAGCCCTATAACAAGTTAGACAGGGCTGTAGAACAACAGAACTTCTGGCCTGAGCCTGAAAGGTTCATGTCAGTCATCTGCCACTGATATAAATCATAACTTATTCACAGAGTCAGTCAAGCAGTGATTAGTCCTGATCTGCTATGACAGCTCTCACCTCACCCACTCAGGTAGGGTTTCTACTGTACAGGAAGCTAGCTCCCTAAATGAGGGTGAGTCCAAACGGGTATTCCTGATGCTGTGTGCCTGTGGGAACAGCCTCGGGAGCTGTTCCTGGCAAGGCCACATGAGTTTCCTGGTGCCCAACTCAGCCTCCAGAAGAGGGAGCATTGTCAGCCTCCTGACACACAAACCCTCTCACAGAACCACCAATGTCTATTCCAGCGTTCTCTGGCTCTCACACCCTTATGATCCCAAGTCCACAACAGAGCCCACAGAACAAATACAGCAAGGCAAACACAAGACCCAAGGATAAGCTGTTCCATGGGCCTCTTCAGATGCCTGACCCGTTTGGGAATCCAGAACATTCCTGTGAGCTTACTGAGGCCCAGCAGGGGCAACAGGATTACACAGAGCTGGCCCATAAGTCAGTCAGGCCAAGAGCCCGGAACTCTGGGTGTGAAAGCGTAGCTCATCTGGGCCCTACCCAAGGCTGATGAATGGAAACAAAGTGTCCGTGCCCCAAGCCCGCTGCAGATCTATCTGCTCGAAGAGTAGGCTCAGTGGGGCTCTGGGCTCAGGCTTTCACCAGACAGGGCTTTCCTGGGAGCAGGCATTAGTGAACTCAGCAGGGGAGCTGCTCATCAGAAGACCCCATTACCTGAGTTTGACTCTGAGTTTGCTTTGGTGGCTGCTGTTGGAGCCTGCCTTCCCAGCTCCCAGGAGGCCCGGGCCATTTCCCTCAGACCCCTGGGCTCCTACCGCTCCCTGCAGCTCAGAGAGGGATGGCTGCCACCCTGACTTAAGAGCCTCGGGTCCATCCTGTGTGTGCCTTAACACCTGCTGAGCTCCACGCTGCTCGCTCCGCTCCTTAAGTACCTTCTTGTTCCCCAAACTGCCACTCAGGAGGGAAGCTGAGCACCTGCAACATCAAATGTAGGAGTCTGGAAGATTCTCAGAGGGCTGTGTCCCTGGCAGCTTCCCCAAGGATTATCACTCACTGTTTCTCTCCTTGTCATCTCATATCAAATCTAGGGACAGTCAGTGCCCTCCCCGTCCAGTTGTAAGTCCTGGGAAAACCACAGCTTGCTAAGCCCCAGGCCCTATGGCTATCCTCAGCCTGAACTCCATCTGTCTTTCCCATGAGTTCCTAAAGACCCGGAACCTCCTGAACTGGGCAAGTTCCACGGAAGAATCTGGGCAGGTTCCCTGGGAAAATAAAGGGCCTATGGTGAGGAGCTGAGAGGCCTCAGGGCTGGCTTTGTTAGGCCCCTGCTTCCCCTTGCCACATTCAGCCATCTTCTAGGCAGACCTACACAGTGTCTTTGGAATAACATAGTACAGAACCAGGAGGCTTGAAAACAAGTCCCCGGAACTATAACTCATGCCTGTGTGACCCTAAGCAAGACACTGAAACTCCAGTTTTGTTTTGTTTTTTCAAGATAGGGTTTCTCTGTAGCTTCGGAGCCTGCCCTTAGAACTCGCTCTGTAGATCAGGCTGGCCTCGAACTCACAGAGATCCACCTGCCCCTGCCTCCTGAGTGCTGGTATTAAAAGCATGCACCACCAACGACCGGCTCCAGTTTCTTTTTCTTTTAATTATTATTATTTACACTTTATTTACGTGTGTGTGTGTGTGTGTGTGTGTGTGTGTGTGTGTGTGTGATGCACATGTATGTGAGGACTGAGGACAACTGTGGCAGCCAGTTCTCTCTTATATGCGGTTCCAGGATCCAAACTCAGGTACATTAGGCCAGTTCACCTTTACCCACTGAGCCATTGTGATAGCCCCTCAAGCTCCAGTTGCTTGTGTGTTACAAAAGGGTTACTACATTTCTCATGTCAGAATTGATTCAACCCCTCAGCCACAGATCCGGTTCCTTCGTTCTGTATCCCCAGTGGGGAAGGCAACACAGCAAAATGTTGAATGAAAGAAATCTGACTGTTAAAGAGCCTCGTGAACATATACATATAATATTTATTTGCAAGAAGCTCACTAAACCTTTCTAAAATTACAACAGAAAATAAATAAGGTCAATTCGGTGTGTACCCAGGAAGGTCCATGTTTTTTCACTAAATATTTATAAGAAGTTTTCCTTGAGGCAGAAGTATAAATGACAAACATAACGTTGCAGGAAACAGGTCCTGACCCCTTATGTCTGAAGCCATCCACAAAGGTCCTGGACCACCTTTGTAAACCCACCAAACACAGTTATAAACAGGAAGGGTAGGACTCATGGCTCTTTGTGCGCCTGTCCAGACTTACAGCCCGACATACTGAAAATGGTGTGGTCAGGACACGAAGGGCTCAGAATCGGACAGGAGGGGTTTAAATCCTTGATCCATACCTCCTAGTTGTTTTAATAGTGTACCTTTTGAGGCTTCCTGTGGCCAGTTCTGAAATGGATTCAGTAACGCGTGTGTGAAATTATTAAATGTAATTAACATGTCTCCTCCAGCGCTGCAGGACAGCAGGTGGTCCCCAAGGAAGAGCGGTAGTTCCTGGAGTGCCCCCTGCTTCCCAGCAGAGTGAAGGCTAAGCCCTGGGTCAGGAAGACTGCGTTTGTCCCACACCTGTACCTCTTAGCTAGGACACTGGGACAGAAAATGACTCTCAGAACTGAGCAGGGGGAGGATTCCAGAGCCACACAGTGGAGGAGCTGGCCTGGGGATAAAATGTCACGACGAAATTCCTGTCCCCAGAGTCAGCGGATCCAGCCTCAGCCCAGACACCAGCTCACTTCCCGGCTCCTCCCTGCTTTCCCAGGCCCCACGGAGACACACAGCCCCCGGGGTGCCCCTGGTCACCCCAGATAGCCAGCCGGGCTCCAGACGACTACTGCAGGGACCCAGGCCGGGTCTCACCGACACTGGGCCTCCTGCCCCCGGTGCTGGCCGCAGCCCCCGGTTCCAGGCCGCTGCGCTGACTCACCCCCGCTCGCGAGTCCCAGCTGCGCAGAGGCCACCTGGCTGCCGGCAGGTGCCCCGAAACCCGGGTCATTCTCGATGCCAGCAATCTCGCTCTCCTGCTGGGCCAGGAAGGCGGCCGCCGGGTCCTCCTCGGCGGCCTCGGGGGCCCCGCTCTCCGACGACGAGAAGAAGCCGAAGTCCTCAGCCATCTTCCCCGCGTGGCTGCTGTCACCTCCCGCCCGCGCCCGCGGCCCGCACTTCCCGTCACCCGCCCGGCTCGCCTGTCACTGCGGCTGCAGCGGCGGCGGGAGGAGTCGCCGCGGGAATGTGGTGACGTCAGCGGCCGAGGGCGGGGCCCGCGAGGCTCGGTGGTCGCCCCCCTCCACCTCCCGCGGTGCAGGCCCCCGCGGCAGAGACCCGCCTGGCCAGCTGCAGGACCCCGGGCTGCGCCGAGCTGCCTCCGGGGCCATCCACCGAAAGTTTCTCCGGAGCCGATTTTATGAGCGGCGTGACATGACCGTCCTCCTGCGTGGGAGGAGGAACTCAGGCTGGGAAGGGCTTGCGTGCCCGGTCCGTGCACCAGAGCCCAGGACCGAGTGCAGCATCCCGCCGCCCTCAAATCACGAGGGTTCCCCTTTCTCTGTGTCTGGGGACATTGGTGTTTGTAAAGGCAGCTGGCCGGTTGTTTTTGTTTGTTTGTTTGGTTGGTTGGTTGGTTTGGTTTTTGAGAGACAGGGTTTCTCTGTAGCTTTGGAGCTCCTGTTCTGGAACTCACTGGAAACCAAGCTGGCCTCGAACTCAACAGAGATCCGCCTGCCTCTTCCTCCCAAGAACTGGGAAGTGATTTTTTTTTTTTTTCCTGAGCTCTTACATTCCTTTATACTTATTCAGACTTACAGTGATCCAGAGTTCTTAGCGCAAAGTGTCAATTTGTCCTTTTATTGATTGAGTTCAAGTCGATCGATCACTCTGTTAAGGTGGAGCCTGCTTTCTCCACAGTGAATTGTTATTTTCCTTGGTAATTAGTATTGAGACTGCTGAGATTCTGTGTCATGCCTCAAAACTCAAACTCCCACCTCCACCTCTATCATTCATTTATTTATTTATTTATTTATTTATTTATTTATTTATTTTTGAGGTTGTAGCCATAGGCTGACCTCGAACTCTTATATAGCTGAGGCTGGTTTTAAATTAGTGACCTTCCTGCCTCATCCTCCAAGATGCAGGGCTCATAGGCACACATGCATCTTGTTTGTTTGCTTTTAGTATCTTTTTTTTACTCTTTGACTATTTCATGCATGCAAGTAATGCACCTCCTGACCATTTGCGCCCCTCCTCATGTGACTCACTCCTCCCGGGGATCAACAATATACCTCCCTCCCCTTTTACATTCTCTCCTTTTTGTTCATAACCCACTGAGTTCAGCTAATGCTGCCTGGTGGAAAGTTAATTGATCTGGTTGATCTTGGGCAGGTAATCTGCAGTGAGCTCATGGTTGCTGTCAGCATTTCACAGCATCCATCCATCTTTCTACCCCTCTTCTGCGATGCTCCCTGGCCTTGGTGGGTGGTGTTGATGCAGATGGCCCACACAGGGCTGGGCGTTCAACAGTCGCTTATGCGTTTGTGTGTAGGTGTGGGCAGAGGCCACAGGTGTAAGATCCAGACGCGTAAGAGCTGGAGTCACAGGAGATGTGGGTGCTAAGAACTGAACTCAGGTCTCCTGCAAGAGCAGCATATGCTCTTAGCTACCATCTCTCCAGCCCCACTGGGGACATCTTCTTGTTGTAGCATGAAAAATGACTACAGGGATACTGCTGATGTCTTTTCCACCCCAGAAGCCTAAGCAGCACCTTGTAGCACATGAAAGCTCTATGCCACTAGTGTGACTACCAGCTCAATGAAGAAATGGCGCGTGCCACCACCCAAAAGGTTTCTTGTGTCCTTTCTCAGTCAGCTTCAGTCTACCTCAGCCCATTTCCAGGACACTAGTGACCTGCTTTCTGTTGCTAGAGATGCTTTTTTTGTTGTTTTTGTTTGTTTGTTTTTCAAGCCCTATCAGTCCTGAAATTCACTCTGTAAACCAGGTTGGCCTCAAACTCACAGAGATCCACCTGCCCCTGCCTCCCAAGTTCTAGGATTAAAGGCACATGTTACCACCATCCGGCTAAACAACTCTTTAAAAAATAAAAATAGCACAGATGAATTGATTAAGAAAGCATCCCTAGAGCTGGAGAGATGGCTCAGGGGTTAAGATCATTGGCTGCTCTTCCAGAGATCCTGAGTTCAATTCCCAGCAACCACATTGTGGCTCACAACCATCTATAATGAGATCTCCCTCTTCTGACCTGCAGGCATACATGAAGACAGAATACTGTATGCATAATAAGTAAATTTTAAAAAAGCATCTCTAAGGAGGGCCGTAGTGGTGTATGCCTTTAATCCCAACACTCGGGAAGCAGAGCAGAACAGAGTGAGTTCCAGGAAAGCAGAGTTACATAGAGAAACCCTGCCTTAAAAAAAGAAAGAGTTGTTTATTTGGGCTGAAGGGATGGCTCAGAGGTTGGGAGCATTCATTGCTTTCTCAGATGACCCAGGATCAACCCACATCAGGTGGCTCACAACTGCCTGTAAATAGTTTCAGGAGATCCAATGCCCTTTGTCTCCACAGGCATTGCATGCACATGGTACACATACAGACAAGCACACACATGTAAATAAATGAAAAGAGTTTTTAAAGGTTCATTATTTTTTAAAATGTATTTGTCTGCATGTATGTGTCTGGTCCTCTGGAAGAGCAGTCAGTGCTCTTAACTATTGAGCCATCTCTCCACCTCTTATGTATACAGTGTTCTGCCCGCATGTGTGCCTGACGGCCAGAAGAGGGCACCAGATCTCATTATAGATGGTTGTGAGCCCCCATCCATGTATTGCTAGGAATTGAACTCAGGACCTCTGGAAGAGCAGCCAGTGCTCTTAACCTCTGAGCCATCTCTCCAGCCCCTAAATAAAAATTTTAAAAAGCATTAGTTACCCAGGCACTAGGGTGGTGCACAGATTTAATTCCAGCACTCAGGTGGATCTCTGTGAGTTTGAGGCCAGCCTGGTCTACAGAGTTCCAGGCTCCAAGGCTACACAGAGAAACTGTCTTGAAAACACAGGAGTGGGGGGGGGCATTATTTATTTATCTCTGTGTGTGTGTGTGTGTGTGTGTGTGTACATGCATTTTCACATGTGTATGAAAACAGCAGAAGAGGCCAGTGTCCTCTGTCACCCTCTGTCTATTCCTTTGATGCAGGGTCACTCACTCACCCGAGGTTTCCCTCAGCAATGGCTTCTGGTTGTCACTGCACAAGTCCTCACCTCTCTCTTGATCACTTTTTGCCACTGTGACAAAATATTCAGAAGACAACTTAAAAAGGCCAGAGATTGCTTTGGACTCAGGGTTTCAGCCGACGACTGCATTGCTTGGGGGCCTCTTCCTAGTGAGATAGGACATCAGCGTCCTGGCAGAGGATGTGTGGTGAAGATCACTTCATGGTGGGCAGGAGACAGAGGGACAGAAAGGAACAGTCAAGTCAGGACAAGACGCCGATCCCCATCACCAGCTTTTCTATCCTAGCCTGGTGCTCACCTCACCGTGAGATCCCGTCTACCCTGAGCTCATGGCGGTCTTGCTCCAGGCTCTGAGTGCTGGTCGAGCCAGTGTGCCCCACTCTGCTGACTTCTTGATTGATTTTTATGTGTTAGGCCATCCTTGAATTCCAGGAATAAACCCCACCTGTTTCTGGTGTATAATCCTTTTTTTTTTTTTTTTTTTTTTTTTTTTTTTTTTTGAGACAGGGTTTCTCTGTGCATCCCTGGCTGTCCTGGACTGGAACCCTCTCTGTAGATCAGACTCGAACTCACAGAGATCTGCCTGCCTCTGCCTCCTAAGTGCTGGGATTAAAGGTATGTGCCACCACTGCCTGGCTGATGTATAATCCTTTTGTTGTAGTGTTAAATTTGGTTAGTTGGTATTTTGTGGAGGATTTTTCATGTTGATTTTATTTATTTTTCTGTTTTGGGACAAGATCTCACTATATAGTCTTGGTTGGCCTGGAACTTGCTGTATAGACCAAGCTGGCCTTGAACTCATAAAGATCTGCCTACCTCTGCTTATTCAAGGCCCTGAATTTGATTCCCAGTATCACCAAAGTAATAACGAATATAATGGAATAATGATACAGTAGCTTTGTGTGTAGCTTCTTTCACTTACCATAATGTTTTCCAAGTTCAACTATGTTGAAGCGTATGTCACAGTTTTTATGACCGAATTGTATTGTAGTATGTGATGGGATCACAGTTTTCAGCCGTTAATCAGTTAATACACATTTGGATTATTTTCATATTTGGATTACTTTGTTGTGTTTTGTTTTCTTCTTCCCTGAGACAAGGTCTTTACTGTTATAACAAGCTATCTTCAAGCTCCCGATCCTGCTTCTCAGACCCCCTGTGCTGGCTGGGTAGGTGCCTGTCGCCATGCTTTGCTCACTGTAGACTGTCAGCAATAGCCCTGCTGTGGATATTTAACTTTTTTCTGAATAGTTGTTTTGGTTGTTGTGCATATATACCCAGGATTGAAGTTGCTGGGTCATCTGGTACTTCTATTTTTAACTTTTTGAAGAAACACCAGCTACATTTTTACATTCTACAGTCTGTAGTGGATCCAAGTTTTTGGTGCCCTTGTTAACACTTTTCCCTTTACAAAATAGTATGTGCTATTGAAAAAGTGTGAAGTGGTGTCTAATTGAGGCTTTGATTTGCATTTCTGTAATGACTAATGATGCTGGGTTTCTCCTCATGTGATTGCTGGCCTTCTGTACATTTTCTTTGTTTTGTTTTAAAGACAAGGTCGCACCATGTAGTCCAGGCTGCTCTTCAATTTGGCCTCAGGTCTTTGTTCCTGGTGCTGGGATCATAGCTATATATTTCTATGTCCACTGCATTTGTATGTATCTTTTGGGAGAAAAAGTGGTAGGCAAATTCAAGAGACAAAGTGTAGGTTAATGTTTCCTAGTGTCAGATGGCTCAGAGGTTAAGAGCCCTGGCTACTCTTCCAGAGGTCTTGAGTTCAATTCCCAGTGACCACATGATGGCTCACAACCATCTGTGATGAGATCTGGTGCCCTCTTCTGGCCTACACTATGCAGCACGAAATGATGAGTAACTCTGTAGGTAAAAGGTTAGCATAGACAGTAGGGTTCCTGTTTGCTTGCTGTTGCTGTGACAACTTGGAGGAGGAAAGGGTTTGTTTCGGCCCACAGGTGACAAGCCATGAT